AAGAACACTGATCAGTATCATAACGAAGGATTTACTATAGTTCTTTATGAGTGCCCTTATAGCCGTCTTATAGCTTTTATTCTGAAAATATTTTGTTAGAGGGAAATAAGCATTACCTATATTTTGCTGACGTCTCCACAATATGGGTTGATTTTTAGGCAATAAAAAGTACAAAAAAAGTTCTAGGTTATGGTTTTATTGGTTTATTTTTAGTCTTTAAAGACAACTTATCAGTATCATAATGTAATAGTTCTTTTTTAGTTCCTTATCTTACAGCTTTTATTCTAAATTTATTCCATAAATTTAAGGCTTTCATTTACAATTTTCCAAGTTTTGCCAACAAACCCAGAAAGCCAAAGGCTTCTAGTTTATTTAGCTACCTAGCTAATGATTTAGTAGAGCATTCAGAATTCATTGTAAAATGTTAGCTAGTTTGTTTGTTTGATTTTTGTGTATCCATTTCCAGCTGTGCCCAGCGCAGACCGGCGAAGGCGAGCGCATTTCATATTTAATTAAAATCGAGGCACCCACAGACACCCGCAAAAGCAAACAGACACACATGCAAGCAAGCCCACATGCAAACACACAGATACACCCGCACATATATTCACCAACACTTATGCATAACCAACAACAAGCATTTAAATAAGGGTTTTGGGCCAAAAGGGGGGCAGCACAGAGGCGACGTCGTCTGGAAAATGGTAATAACAAAACGCTGTTCAAATATTTAAAATCTTCCGAATGCCGCATTAATGAGCTTTTTATTTTGACGGCGATAAGCGCAGCACACACACACACTCACTCTCACACGCTATGTTGGTAACAAATTATGGCTAATTCGCGATTGCTTTATGCTAAACAGATGCGGTTGCAAAAAAAAAAAGAAGCCAAGAAAATAAATGGAATATATTTTGGTAGCGAAAAATCAAAACAGTGAAGAGGCGGCACGGGCACGCCCACAGCATTTCGCCCACATCTGCTGGCCAGACAGGCGTGGCAATTAAAGCGCGTGACGAAAACATTCCACGCTGCCACGCCAATAAATATTTCATCAGCCAACTAAGGATCCTCAGTTAGATGCAGAGTGGGAAAATGTATTAAATTTTTTTTGGGTTTCTTTCAGGCTAAATTATGCTGATTAAACTTGTTTTTCTGCTTAAGTTTTTTTTAAATCATTAACATATTTTTTAATAGTTATAATTTATATAAAATAAAGGCAAGTATTTTAAGGAATTTGGAATAAAAAAGTGAAGAGATATCCTTAATATTTTCTATTGATTAAAACCTTAAAAAACTTTGCACATAATCTGAAAAACTTTCTTCTCCATTTAATTCGATTTTATTCTTAAAATAAAATTGAAAAATATTTCTAAAAAAATGTATTTTTTCTCCATGTTTTTACATTGCTAGCTGTCGGCATTTGTTAATAATTCTATTTCTATCAACTTCTCAGTACTTTTTCCCCGATGCCAGCTGCCTTTCCCTGCTATTCGCATATTTCTCTTTGTTTTCGTTGCCATAATTCATTTCGCGTTTTTCTCGAGGCGGTGAAAAGCGCGGGGAAAGCCCTAGAAAAATGCGAGGAATGCGGAAAAAAGTACACATTGTGTAAAAGCCAGGATCGTATGTGTGTGCATTTTCAGGGGAGAGTGTGTGTGTGTGTGTATGGGTGCGTTGGCCGTCCTTATTAAGTGGTTCGAGTGCTGATTTATAGCACTTTACCCACCCGTCATGACGGTTATCCTGTCAGTTTCAAAACAGAAACTGAAGGACAGGCCATTCGCACCGTGTCCTTCGTCCTTTGGCAACACACCCAGGACATTCGGTTAAAGTTTTAAGCGCTCACTTTGCATCTAAAGTGTATTTGGCAGATAAATGTTTTGCACGCGCATTACTCATACGCCACATTGGCGCAGCCACATTTTCACCTGCCAAAGCCATGGCGACAACAAAAACGAACCGCACTTTACCTAATTGAACGACAGGGGCAAAAAGCAAACAGGCTCTCGCTGATTAATTTAGCTGGGAATAACATTTAATGTTTCAACTTTACGATAAGGTTATAACTTTTTGTTATAATTTAATTGGGAAGAAGTTGACGCCTGGAAATGTGACTTAAGTTGATATATTATCATGCATATTACATATATGGATGAAACGCCTTTAAAGTTCCTATTCTATTAAATTTTCATTCTTTAGTTTAAAATCTTTTTTATTAAAGTCTTAAATAAATATTTTTAATTTCATTAAAAACAAGAAGAAACGCTGAAGCCGACTCCCGCGACCCGTTACTGTTTTACACAATTTTAAAATATTCATTTTGCTAGTGGAAAGCGCCACCTATGTGAGGCCTTATTATCTACCTTTCTTAATAAACAGCTTAATAATGTTCCGATTTGAAAAATCTTTGGTAAATCGATAGATATGGCCAAAAATATGTTATACAAGGTCAAACGAAGACATCCACTATAATAATTATGGATGCCACAGTAGAGTGACTACGAGTAAAGGGTATAAAAAGAACACCAATTAAAGGGAAACTAAGCCAGTTCTCACCTTCCTTTGACCCACTCAACCATCTTTATTTAATCTCCAGCCAAACTGGATACATAAATATTTCATTTCATCTTGAAACTTATTTAATTTGAATAAGAAAATATATTTTCCTGCTCAAAATAATGTACCATAAGCTGTGAACTATATATTGCTTTTAAATTATTGCTCGCAGTTCTCACAATTCCTCTCAAAATCGTTCTTGTCAGCTTATAACTCTTTGTCTTTCGGTGTCTAAATCGTTTTCATTCTTTTTTGGCAAGTAGCAAAATTGACTTGAACTAGATTTTCTCAATTCCGATTTTCCACCCAATGTTTACGTTAGCACTCAGAATATCTTTCGCGGCCAATTCATAGAACAAAGAACGAAACGGATGCAATAAAAAGGTGCCAAGTCTGGTGAAAATTAATATATTTACGGGCGTATAGATTGCTCTGGCCCCGGTGTTAAACTGGTTGTAAAATTGACTTACGGATGAAACTGACGATCTCTGCCGGATTTCTTTTGACCCGAAAATAAGATTTTTAGCCAATCGATAGACGGGGTCAAGTGCAACAACAGCAAGAACAGCACTTGGCCATAAACATTTTATAGTTTCAATAAATATAAAATTTGAGAGCCATTAAAATCGGGCCGAAACATGCAAAAGTGTTCTGCATTTGTTTGTTTCGTTTCTTTTGCAATTCATTGTTTTTTCTCCCCCTCTCAAATTTTATGTCTTTCGAATCATGTGAGCGTGCAGGATTTGGGATATGTATACGAGTATATATCTATATATCTCTATATATGTGTACATACGATTGGCTGCAACAAATATAAACAAGTTTTTATGTTTATATAGAGCTCAGAGACAGCATCAGCGAAAACCAAATTACGCATACGCCATGAATAAAATGAAACTTTTCGGATATGCTGCTAATTCACTTGCTCAAGCTTGAATAATTTCCACAAAAACTAGATTATGCAATTGGCACTTTTCTAACTGATTGCTAAGCTTCTTGTTAAATCGATTATAAAACTCTGTTAATGCTAAAAAGAAAGCCTCTTAGGCTGGAAAATCTGTTTTGCCCATGAAGAAGTTTAGTGATTTAGTTTGGTTTTGACACTTTCCTGCCATTTTGTGACTTGGCTCTTATTCATTTAGCCTGATTTCTTTACCAGCTCGAAATTTACTGGTAAACAAAATTGAAAGAAATTGGTTTTCTTGGTACTTTATTTTATTGATGGCGAAAGGCAGAGGCATTTTTATGCTCTAAACAAAGTATGTTTCTATCAAAAGATTTTGGGTTTTTGTATAAGCAAGTTATTTATTACTTTAAATCAAATGGTTTTTAATCAATATATTGATTTAAGTTATCGATGTGTTTCAATTTGTTTTAGCTTTTTGCTGGAGGTTTCATTACGAAAAACATGTTGCTTTCATTTTTGATTTTTAGATGACTACCTCAGATGGCTGACAAACAAAATGAAATGAAATTACTTTTTAATATCACAAAAATAAGATTTTTATTAGTCTAAAGACTATAATCTTCTTTTAAGGTAAGTAAATGAGTGAAATAGATCTAACATCACCGTTAAAAATAGTTAAACATAAACCTTATTTAGTGTATCCCTTCTCATTTCATACCCAAATGAACTGGCTATTAATTACTTGCCAATTTACCCTTATCAACTTCTGGCCCAGGCCACTAATTAGAAGGGAGGGTGAGCACTCGGCATGGTGCCAGAAAAGCCCACTCCTCTAGGACATATCATTTAATAGAGCACACATGGCGTTCTTGGGAAAACCCACGACGACGATTTTCCGGTGGAATTATCAGACATTAAACTCTTTATGAAAATGTTAAATAATGAACTTGGCGAATCGTAAAGAATGCCTTTTACTCTTCCCCATTCCCATAAATACTTATGCATGCCAGAGTTTTGGGTAATTTTTTAATAAGTATTCAACGCTTCTTTGGGCACATATATTTTCCAAGAATTTACCTGAATGTGTGCGTGCCTCGTAAACATTTTTATTGGCCATTTTCGACATGAGAAGCAATGAAAGGATATGCCAAGCCAGCTTGGAAAATGCTTTATGAACGGCCGAGAGACAGAGATGGAAAGGCAAAACGAACAAAAAACAAGAAAACATGAAACATTTTCATTTCCATTTTCTTTCTCGCTTTCGTTTTTGTTGTTTGTCATGGCCCATTCAATTATCTTAATATTACGCATACGCCGCATGGGCTGCCAAACAGGAAAGACGATGTGATGTGATGAAGGGTGGTGCTTGGATGGCTTTCAACATCATTGCCCCAGAAACAAAAAAAAAAAATGGGGAGAAACTAATTACCGTCGGCCAAATAAACAAGGCTCTCGAGTATTTCGGCCTGAATGCGTTTATTGATCCCGAATTGCGGCCTAAATGAGCCTGAGTTTGCGGTCGAATCGTGGCTCTTACCTTCTAGCGAATATCCTTCCCGGTCCAGCTATCCTTCATTCCTTTTCCTTTTGTGTTTCTATCTCAATCTGATTGATTCACAATTTATTCTCACTTTTTCATTTGCACTCTGGGTTTGCGCTTGGCTTGCTCTAAATTCAATAAACAAAACTGTTGTGTGGTCTTAAAAGGGACACTCGGTGTTTGGGTTTTCACTCTGGCTTTAGTTGGGCGTCTCTCATTTACATTTTATGCATATTTTAATTGCTAGCAGATACAGAAATAAAAAATGTTGAAACGTTCCGTGCCCGGGAATCCTCACAGGCGGAAGCCAACTATGAACAATGAACAGATCCTGGGGGCTAGCCCAGGATCCAGCTGTGGTCATTGCACTTGGCACAATTTCTCTTCCTACTTTTTTTTTCCTCCCCTGCCTTTCTTTTTTTGTCTTCTTTTAATTGGAAATTAGAACGAAGTTCGTGCTGTTCCAGACAGGATTTGCATTTCCGACCAAGCCCCCTTCTAACCCTCCCCAGTGCCTTTGTTTATTAAACTTCAATTAGGCAAGTTTTTTCCAATTAAAATTTGCGCGCTGCAATTTTAAGGGTTCTTTGCTGGCCAGGCCAACTTTTCGAGTGGTTAGTTTAATTGGTTTTCCTCTTCTTTTTTTATATACTAGTAGTTTCTTCATTGTTCTCATATCAATCTCAGTCAAGTCGTATCAAAAGGGGAACTAACTGGAGACATTGATAAATGCAAAGGGTTACCGAACCGAGAAAACCCGTCGGAAATCACAATGCCATTTGGATAATGGCTGGGAATTAGATTAATCTTCCTTGTAGTAGGTGTTTTAACTACCGGAAAGTATTTCCTAATGCCTTTATGAGGAATTTTGTATATATTTACAGCTTTTCTCTGTTAAACAAAATGGTCTGTAAACAAAAATACATTGTAAGACTTCTGCATTCCAAGAAGAAGCTTTTCTTAATCGGTTATTCTTTGATTTATTATTTTATTTTAAAGATTTCTTAACCTTTTTGTAGCTCTGTTGGTTAAACAACTAATTGGTCGTAGAAAGATAAACCCAAAGGCTTTTTCTTTCTAACTTTTATAACCATTAGCAGACTAAACATAGATTCGAAGTAATCAATGCGGAAAAACTACATAATTGTTAGGTTTACTCTATCAAATATACTTCCAAGAATCTGAAACCAACCAAGAGTGAAAATATTATCTCAAAAAATCTCTTTCTAAAGCTACAAATAGCAATCACAAAAGGTTATGCAGGTCGGTAGATGCAATGCCTTTTAGGCAGTTCTCCATAATCAGTGGAATGTCGCACCTGCTCCAGGGAAAATGTGTTAAGGAGAGGCCGGAAAGAGGGGGCAACTGGAATCGAGGGGATATAAATATAAACAACTACCCCGTGCCGTGTTCTAATACCAAGGCCCAAACTCCACCGAACGTGTGTATCTATGTGTGTGTGTGTGTGTGCGCTGGGTATTTCACTTATTTACACTTCACTTCGGCTACTGATTCAGATTCTGGTGCCGCTGCTGCTCACTTGTTCGCGCGCCCGTTTTCAAAGTTTTTGGCCCAGCTTTTCTTGATTTTGTTTGGACTATGGTTTTTGTTGTTGACTTTTTGGCTGGCTGATTCGTTTTTCCGCTGCGAGCACCAAACGCTTTGAACTTCGACGAGGAACTGAGCGGCGGAGTGGCTCGGAAAAGCCGAAAGCTTTCGGCCCAGAAACATTATGGAAATGGGACACGAGCGAATGAGAGCACAAGCTCATGGGGCTGTTGCTGCTTTGTTTTCCTCGATTAAATGGCAAAAAAAAAAAGAACACAAAAGAAAAACTGAAAATCATAGAGAACTGGGGGTGGGCTGAAACACTTGTGGCTCACAGAAAACAGAAGGCTTCCATGTTGCCGGCTGTTTGGCAACATGTCTAAATGTTGCTCCGGCCATTAATCGTGTTGCCATGGCGAAAGATGAGTGCACTTTTCCACACCCAAACACTAAAATACCGGCACTTTTCGGCCAATTAATATCGAACGAACAGAATGTAAACACTTACTTTTTTTTTCTTTTTTGGCCTTTGGCCATCTGCTTCTGGCCAAAAACTGGCGGTTGATAAGATAAACACAAACACCCACGAGGCGAGTATATATATGTACATTGCTTCTTACCCCATGTTGCCAGTTGTTCTGTTAGCTTGCCACCAAACTGAATGATGTTTCGGATTCACAGATTCGGATGCTCAAACTCGCCTCGACGACTGTTCGCTTTTTCGGATTTTCGGTTCCCAGGCAGAAACCGGAGGAGCCATCGGATGCGGTGAGCTTTTGGAGCCTGCGGCGCTAGTTTCACTTCCACTCCGTTTCTAAATGCGGCCAAAAACCCCCTACCATCATCTCTTGGCCATTATTTTGAGCCTCTTTGGCGCCCGACGAGGTGACAATTCCATTTAAGAATTGCGGGCATAGCTTTGTTATTGCTCATGACCATTCTAGCCAACCATTCGGGATAACAATGGAAATAGTTATTGCTTTGTTACTGCCTTGGACTATTTAGTGTTGTCCGATTAGTTTCTACTTATCTGATAGTTAATACATTTCTCCTCGAGAATCCTGGCTGAGGAGACATTCAGAATATAATCTTAAGTTAATGTCCCATTAGAATAAATATTTATTATTAGGAAAAGCAGATACAAAAAAACAAATTTTACAGATCCAAGCTAACTAAAACCTAACTAAAACTTTATAATAGAAACAGTACTTTATCATCCTTGATTAGAATACTTAGCCAAACTTCCTACATCAACTTAGGCCTCTTGAATTTATGGCCCGCCAACGGATACAGCCCATTAAATGATACCCACGACGAACTTCAACTGTAATTAAATAGTTAAGGTAATGAATTGCCATTTTCGAGAGTTTACATAGACATTTACATAAAGGTCTTTATTAGCGAGGCTGCAGAAACAGAAGCTGAGCAGAAGGGCAATGAACTTTTCGTTTTTCAAGTGGAGCTGCGAGTATGAAGTTCGGATTAGGTGTCGGGATGTTCCGTCTGCAGCAAATTAAGCGCGATTAGTTGAGCCAACGGGTTGTCAGTGCCCCTGGGGGCATTAGCATAAGCGGGATGCCCCAGGCTCTCTCTCTCCCTCTCTGGTCCCTGGACAAAATCAATTTCTATAGTTAATAAGCCGACCGCCTGCTGCGGATCAAGCTGTGTGCTCTTTTCTCGCCCGGCCAGTAGGCGGGAGGATGTGTCCGTCGGTGGCATCCATTGTTTGTAATTAAATGGATGTGTTTGGGCGACCTGCGGCGCATTGTGTCGCTTGGGTCCTTGTGTTCTTCGTGCTAATGCACTGGCAGCCCGCTGATGTTGCATAAATTAATTGATTTATCAAGTGCACGCCGGCTGCGATCTTAATTAGCATTTTCTCCTTTTGCTGCCTCCACACGGTGCGTATACGCAATTAATACATATTTGCCTCGTTAATTGCTGGCCATGTACGCATTAGATAATGGCCAGCAACACGTGGCCCCGGTTGCCTTTCTCTCGAGGATTTATGGCAAAAGGGTCCAGTCCTGATATGCTGGCTAAGGTGAAGGTGGTCCTCGCTTCTGGTTAACGACCCATAAATCTAAGCACTCTCGCCACGGCACATAAATTGACCCAATTCAGAGCAATAAAATAAAATGTCCAGATAATGCATTCGCAAAAATATAAAAATAAAAAAGGAGGAGAAATCAATTTATCGACAGTGTTCTCAAAATTATGTTTGAATTTTTTGATTTTTCTCAAGCGAAACCTGTACCCACATTGCGGAGGTTGGCCAAACATTTATTTTAGTTGAGCCACAGAACATTTTGGCCAAAGTGCAAACTGGTTAACTGACTACCAACAGCTGCTGTCAAACTTTCAACGAAATTCTAATTCTGCGGTTGCCAATTGAAAATGCTTTTCGCATTGAATTGTTTGGAAAGTGCTAATGGGATTAAGCAGATCCTGGTAAGAGGATGATGATGATGATGATGATGTGGATGGCGATGAGCTCTGATGTTGGATTTATGTTAAAACGATGGAGATATTGTGAATTAAATGAGAATATAAAAGCTTATTTGTTTAATGGTATTGAAATGGAGGGAAATAATGTGACATTGTTATTGTTATAAAGCAGTGCTTAAGCTTACAGGAAGGGAAGTTCAATTTCCGGATCAGCTTTCCGTTTTCTTTTGGCTAAGTTAAGTTGGTTAAACTTATTATAATGTATTATTACAGTTAGTATGTTGACTAATTTATTACATTTTCTTCATTATAAGCTGATTGTAACTATAGCTTTAATCGAGTATGTCACAGTTTTACTTCCATGTTTAGTTTTAGCAAAATATATACTTAAAATGAGTTTATTAATGATGATGATTAACAGAAGCCCAAATTTGTTTAATATTTCTTTAAATATGGTAGCAATTTTAACAATTAAATTCAAAATTCAACCTGGCATTTTATTTATTTCCATCACAAAAAATGAACAGCAATGAAAATTCCTTAAAAAGTACAAATTTCCACCGCAACTGTTGATATAAATTTGTTGGCTGTATGCACATCCATCTGTATGGCCATAAAACAGTGATACAGCATCTCTGCCTGTCACTTTGATGATGCATTGAATGGCCAAAAGGCTTAGAAAAAGTGATGGAAAATGGATGGGGATACAGAATACAGCGGGGGTTGAGGTTGAAAAGAGAGAAACATATGGATCTGGTGGCCTACCACCTGTTTGGCTTACAGCGCTAATCCATCAATGGCAACAAGGCAGAAAGTGCCAACAGCAGCTTCGAGTGCCTGGGCCCAAAAGCAAACATGAGAGCAAAAAAAAAACCCAATAAAATTCCCAATGCTCTTGTTTAGAACAACAACAAGGAGAACCACGAAGAGGAGCCATCGGCTCCATTAAAATACATATTCGAAAAGCCCTAAAAATCCATTCATTCAGGTGGGTCGTAAAAACGCGAATGGCCGCAATACGCCACCCCAGTCAGCTACCACCCACCAAGGGAAAATGGCCCTACATCATTCATCCACTGGGGATGTAGATTTTGCCGCACTCTGTAATATCCTGCAATCGAAGTTGCTTTTTCTTTTATTCCATATCCATGATATACCATATATATATATATATGCATGTTCCATTTTATTTATGCTCGTGTTTTTACAGTTCAATAAAGTTCAATAAATTCAGCGACTTGCAAGAGGATTTCCTTGATAAACGCAGACGGAGATCAAACAAATTAAAGTCCTAAACCTACTGTCGCATCCGAAAGAGATGCAAACCAGCAGATGCTATCGACTGGCTTAGCGCTTCTGAGTCCCGAATCCTGTATCCTCAATCCGACAGTGTCAGCGGGCAGAAGGTCAAAAGACCGTGTCGACTGGCATTGATGGACGAGAAGGTCCGAGGGGACTGGCAACATATGCCAAGGTCATCGAAGCCGGCCAGAAATCGCCATCCTGTCGTTTTATAATTTCAGACGAAGGCTTGCAGAATTCAAATCTCATTTAAAGACCATAAATCGGGAGGCTTAAGTAAGTAATAAAATGGATATAATGCTCATAAATAGCAGAAAAAAGTACTTTTATTAACCCGATTTATATTAGTATATGGTACTATCTATTTTCCCATTTTAAAATCAATAATTAATGGCAGTGTTGAGTTGATCTGTCAAATACCGTTTAAATCAAAGACAGAATCTGAATTCCAAGTATTTGGCTATGACAACTCAGCCGAAACGGCACTTGATTTGCAAAGACAGCCCTAAGGACCTCTCATCCTGCTCCTCTTCTGATTGCAGGGTAACCATTGTCACTGACAGGCATCGATTTTGTTTTCCGTTTACGTTTTTTTTTTTTTTTTGAGGGCAGCTGCCCTTCATTTGACTTGTCTGCCATTCCAGATTCATATCTATATCTAAATAATGGGATGTCACTTTTAATTTGAGTGTCGATTTATATGCCTAGTCATTCTGGGCTAACCTCAGTCCTCAGTCCTCCAATATCTACTGTTGGAAATTCCAATGAAAAACAGAATGGCAATAAGGGAAAAGGACAAGGAGAAAGAGAAAAGCTGCAGGACTCAAAGCATTTCGACAAGTTTATTGTGCTTATCAGATTCGGTGGAAGTACACACAGTTTCCAGTAAGGACACTATGGTTACTCCCACTCGTTCATTGTTTGTTTTAGAAAGGACAATTAGCCGAGTGGTCCCCACAATTTAATTGTTATAAATGCCAAGGCTGAATGCGAATTAAGTAATATTTATGGAAGGCAGCGAAAGGATATACGGCCAGGAAACTCTACCCACGCGTCGAAGGATCATTAATAACACTGGATTTTGCACTCTCGAACAGCTGACTCAGTGGCACCGCGTGGGTGTTACTCTATCCCACGCTCCCATTCCCCTCTCTGTAGTCAACCCATGCGAGTCCTGGCTATCCTATTACCATTAATCTCATGCACAGAGCAGCATCTGCTAGATAGTCCTGGTTGTGATTTCAATTAAGCGCACCCAGAACGGGGAAAAGGCGAGAAAAAAGCAGCCCCAAGTTATGAAGATAAATGTCACTCGTCAAGTGGCAATCAATTAGTTAATGCTTTCAGGGACCCAAGAGGCATAGTTTTTCCTCTTCCCTCACCCCTAAAATAAACTTCTACCAACTTCTACCAAGACTCTGAAGGGCGGCGCAGGTTCGTCGTTGTGTTTGTCACAGAAATTATTCAATTACCAAATTAAATTTAATGCCTTGTACTCGAAGGAGGTCCAAGGACGCTGGCAACTTGCTTTTGATCCCACTAAAAGCTTTAATAACTGTAAATTGCTTTCACAAATTTGTCTTCGAACGGGAAAAACCAGAAAAGCTTGGCTAAAAGGGGGGTGATGTCTTTCTTGGGTGGTGAGGTCCTTCGCCCGCATACCTGGGCAAACATTTTTCTCATTTCGGTGTCGCAGCCCTCGCCCGTGACCAAATATTTAAAGGCATTCGACGTGAGCCGCACTCCTGAGCTCCGAGTTCGGAGTTCGATGGCAATGGCAAGGGCAAAGGCAACGGGAAAGGCAAAGGCCAAAACGAACCATTATCGACGTTTTTGTCCCCCTGAATTCCACATTAATGTCTCTATCTACCTGATGCCGAGCATCAGAAATCCAATTATATTCACTTTATGTACAAAAAGCTTCTGCAGCTTGGCAAACTGAATCCCTGAATGGGTGGAGGACAACGACGACGACCCTCTGGCCTGAACCATTAACTAATACCAAAATCCGCTTAAAATTTTAATTTTGTTCACCTTGTAAAAGGGCTGCCAGAGGGCACGATGAATCCGCTTAGTTAGTCACCTCTCCGCTGCGTGAACTTAACTCTGTTTGTTTAGAAAAAAACCATTGTGATATATCATCGAGATGTTAATTCTAGGGGAGCTACATAGCTACATTAATAGCAATTGTAAATAATTTATAAGGAGGAAATCTATTACCAAATTATCTGAGAAACATTGGCAAGTATAGGCAACCGTATACATTATTCAAATCGAATCCTAAGTACCACTTACATGTCAGGAAAATAATTACACCACATTAATTACATTAACAAGCTTATCTTGTTCTTACATTCATCTTTGGTGAATTGAGAAACTTCAGGATGAAGCAAGCCCTACTAAAGCGGGTTTAATGGAAAGATTATAATAAGTAATAAGAAAGTCTATTAAAAGTAAGTATTTGTTATATATTTGCGAATATAAACATGTTAAATATAATGAGGGGACTATTATATAAAGATGAAGAAATTAAAATAATTTGAGTTACCAAATTGTAAGATTTTATTCCCAATTGTTTTTTAAATTTAACTCTCTTTCAATTTTTTCATAATTATTCTTTTACAATTTTTTGAAGACTGACTTTTTTCTACAATTTTCCAAATATTTTCGCTTTTCAAAAATTATAAATTCTTTTCCAATATCTGATCACCTAAAAGCTTTTTTAAAGCTTCCAAAACACTAACGATCTGACATGAGAGCCAAAACTAACTGTAAGAGCTTTGAGAGAACTTCAACAACGTCAACAATCAACATGCTGGCCTCTCTTTAGTTTTTAGTTGCTTTTTTACCTTCAACTGAGTCGGTTGTGTTTAAGTTAAGCGATAAAAGTAAATAAAGAGTACTAATATTTGTGTTGTTTTTTGGTTCGTTTGTCACACAAATTAGTAATTAACAAATCTATTTCAGCCGCTTGTATAATGTCGGCCAAACCCATCCTTTACTACGCGCCACGCAGTCCACCATGTCGTGCTGTTCTGCTGACGGCCGCCGCTCTGGGTCTGGAGTTGGACTTGCGGTAAGTTGTTCTCCCACTCCACCTGATTGCCTGATAAACCGGTCTCCACCAAAGACAGCTCTCTTAGTTAACACTTGAGTTGCCGGTGGGGTCTTGGTAGATCTAAATATATATTACTGATAAATGATAATTTATATATGTATAATTGTTTTATTAATTTATAATCTACAGACTCTCATGTCATGTTTTTTAACCCTTTATATCCACTGTGAATTTTTTTTATATTTCAATATGCCAAAAAGTTTTCATATTTTAAACCTTTTATTTAACCCCGTACTAAAATGTAAAGTAAGACAAAAAAAATAATGCCCAACTTTAATATCTATAACCTAAACTACTGTGACAGACTAAGGGTTAAACCGCTCTTTTTCTGGTTATGTTTTTATGTAGCTCTCTCACCAGCTCTCTCACTTTCTCTTTTTTGTATCTCTTTCCAGTACTGTGAACGTAAAAGCCGGTGAGCACAAGTCTGCCGAGTTTCTTAAGTTGAATGCGCAGCATACGATTCCCGTGCTCGATGATAATGGCACTATCGTCAGCGATTCCCACATTATCTGCAGCTATTTGGCTGATAAATACGCCCCGGAGGGTAATGACTCTCTGTATCCTAAGGATCCGGAGAAGCGTCGCCTTGTGGATGCCCGTTTGTACTACGATTGTGGTCATTTGTTCCCAAGAATTCGTTTTATCGTAGAGCCAGTGATTTACTTCGGAGTTAGAGAAGTTCCAGCTGATCGAGTAGCTTATGTCCAGAAGGCCTACGATGGCTTGGAGCATTGCCTGGCCGGAGGAGATTACTTGGCGGGTGACCAACTCACCATTGCTGATCTCAGCTGCATTGCTTCGGTATCCACGGCAGAGGCTTTTGCTCCCATTGAGGCTGATCAGTATCCTCGCCTGGTGGAGTGGGTCAAGCGGCTGCAGGCTCTTCCTTACTATCAGAAGAACAACCAGGAGGGTCTGGAGATGTTGGTGGGCCTGGTCAAGGGACTTTTGGAGGAACGTCAGAAGAAGTAAATTTGTACTCAGCTTGAGATTTTTTTAAAATTTTTAAACTGTGCCTTGCAAAACGGAAATTGGTTTTTAATTCCTGGAAATTTATGATTTTTACTTAAATGTGAATTATGAAGATTAGATCTTTAATATTTCATTCTCGATGTATTTTTATAGAAATTCTAAAAGCATTTATTAGGTTCGTAGAGCAAAAATATAATTATTTTGATGTCCTTTTTAAATCATAGATTAAAGGAAACAATTTTTTTGCCAGTAAATCCATCTAAAACAATCAATCAATATGTTGGGGGAGTAATAAAAACATGAGTTTCATTAGACAGCAGCCGGAAAACGATGAATCAAGGCCGAACAGCAAACAATAATAGGAGATGCTATATTGTGGGTGGTCCAGTTGGGTGTGTTGGCTGAGGTAAGGGTAGCGATGAGATGGGGATAGAACCGGAGACAAGGACAGCGTCAGCGACAGTTATGTGCAGCTGGTCGAAAAGTAATGGCTAAACTTTTTTATGGGCAAAAAAGCGGGCAGGAAAGGCAAAGCCAGTAACCTGAACTTGGTCATGGACTGACTGTGTGTGAAATTCAAGCCAGAAAGTTTTCCTTTTAGACCGCTCGCCTCCTGGCCATTGTTGTTGTTGGTTGTTTGTTTGTTTGTTTGTTCGACTTGTTGGTGTTTGGCTGTTCCCGTTATTGATTACAAGCTGTAAGTGATCGCATTTATAGTTGTTAAAGCTTCTTTGGCTCTGGCTTGTTGCGGCCAACTCTTGACTTTGGCTTTGGCCACTTAAACGAAAATAACTCGAAAGACCACCGTCCAAGCCGTAAAGTATGACACGGATTCTCTTTCAGTTAAAGTTTATTTCAACTTGGCCAAGTACTTTGAAGAGGCAAGTAATATAACCTGTTTATTCTTCGTATTGCAAACTATTTGTTATTGGAAATAAGTGTAATGCCAGAAGGACCACAAAAACTGTTAAAGGAACTTAGAAAAGGCAACGAAGATGCATCCTAAAACTTGGAAAACGAAAATGTTTATTAGAAATACATAATTTAAAACCTTTTCTCGCCTTTCAATCTTGTGTTTAAAATGCAAAGAGCACCTACAGAGTAAATGGCAAAATGGAGTTTCCTCTTTTTTTTCCACATTTCCACTTGATGCACTCGGATATGGCTGACGACTTTTTGCAAACGTGATGTGACACTTCACTTTGCACTTATGCCCGCCAGTCATCAGTCGATCAGAAGTGGTGACACGAGGCGAACGAGGCGTATCCAGTATCCAGTGTCCTAGTAACCAGTAACCAACATCCAACAACCATCAGCCGCAGGGAGGCAGGCACTCGGTTCCGATTAAAGTGCAACACTGCGGGACAAAAGTTTCGCCACGAAGGAGCAGCGGTCCGCGGGACTGGATTTTTGGATTTTTTTTTTGTTTTTCACAGTTTTCAAATGCCATTAACTGTGTGGCGTGGGCGTGGGCGTGGGTCTCGGTCTCACCGAAAGGGCCTTTACTTTTTTCCCTTTGTCGGTGGAGTTTCTGTGTGTGTGTTTTTGGGATTAAAATTTAATGCCGCAAAAGGAAAAAAGGCAACCTAAGCGCGTGCCAGGAGCGTTAAGTAAACGGGGGCCAAACTGTAGCTACTCATGATTAATGATGCCTTTTTCGGTGGCTCGCCGCCAGGACCTTCGCCCATTTCCGGTTCGTTTAAAGTTGAAACGTTGAAACGTCGTCCGGCCATCTGTTTGCCGTTCTCAGATGGGGTCGCTCCATTGTTTACTCTGTGGTTGCGGTTTGTTTAACAATGAAATTAACTTCTCACTAAGCCAAGGTCCAACGTCGAACAATTGCCAAAAAAGCAAAATTCAATATTTCCCTCACATTTTGGCCATGAACTGGGATAATTAAACTAATTGGAATACACATTTATTGTCTGCAAATCACAATTCGCTCGACGCTCCCTTCGGATTATCAGTATACCAATAAACTAATACCAAACAAAGCTAATCAACGTTAACGATTTGGAAGTTCAATATGTAATTATGACATCTGAGCATTGGTTTCCAATCATGGCCAATCTATCTGTGGTTTTAGGGATGGGAAATGTCTTTCCCTTCTTTTGACTATGAAAGGCAATAAGAATGAAAAATATCATAAAAAAGGAAATGTAATGGTTTAACCTCTTTAATTTATTTGACAAAGAAGTTAGAATAAAATTTATTTAAATACATTTCCAAATCACATCTACCATTAGCTTATAGGTTTAGAACTACAGCCGCTTCCCATCACTGCAACGAGTGGAGTGGGCCACTTGCGTTCGACATGATTCTGCTCTTGAGATGGACAAAGGGACGGACTCTCGTGGGGATTTCATGTCTCCACTCAATGGCCAGACAAGAAGCGTTGATGGCCGTACTCCGTGTTTCATGTCAATGTCCGTGTCCGTGTTCGATATCCGGGCTTTCAATTCCAATTTCAATGTTGTAGTCCGACACTTGCACTCAACAATCGACAAGGATATAATGCAGCCTAAAAGCCCATAATACATAATGCTGAAGATGCCCACTTAAATGGTGGGCGTGGTCGAATCTAATCACCGGGCAATGAGACTAAATCTGTTTTGAAAAACTAACCCAACTAACCTATAACGAGCAAGTGCATTTGTGAGAGTGTGCCAGGACAATGAAAGCCGATTATCCTGCTCAACTGTCCGACCGTCTGTCCGTCCGGCTGAATGTCCTTCGGAAAGCCTACTGCCTGGATGGCTGGCTCGCTGGCTGGCTCCTGATAAACGACAGCACAAACTTGTGGGCTTTTGTGCCGAGGCCTGCCATTCAAATGAGGTCAGGTTGCTACGAGAACATCCTGCAAGCCGAGAGCCAGGACCTGCAGCTCCTACCCGATTCGATGCATGTTGATTAAGTGCTCGCAATTCGAATGCCGCCTGCTGACAGCAGCAACATTTGCATTTGCATAATTGGATATGTATGAACGGAGCAAAGTTGATCTGTAAATGCAGATTCCCAGCCGGGTCCGAATGCACGGCAAAGTTTCTCATTGCCGTTGACATGTCACTGCATTTTCATTTAATCAATATCCGATGGTTGCTAAAGGGTAGGGAAATTTATATATATAGATATATCTGGCTGACTAAAGTGTGCGACGGGAGTGTAAGTAGATGGAGTAATCGGTCAGGGAAGATGGCTTTAAAATTAAATTTTGTGTTTGGAAATCTGAGGTGGAGAGATGTATGAGTTCAATAAAGTAAACATGAAATTTAATAGCAATACTAATTAATAACAGAAAGCTACAACGATGATGAAAATAAATCTAATAAAAAGAGATCAAGTATTAATTAAAATTTTTCTGTTTTACATTTTCGATAAGCACCTTATGCAAGGCCGTCTCACTTTCAATGTTGACTAATTAATTTGGTAAATGTGTTAAAAGTGTACTTTTTTCTGGACAGGCTGTTGCAAGTGTAATTAGCTTTGAATAATGGAGCTGCCCTGCCAGCTGAGGAGGATGTGTCGGATTCAGGGCTTTCGTGACTCATTCATTACCCATTTACATGGCTGCCAGCGAGGTTTGAACTTTGCCTCTGTCTTAAATACCCAAAAAAGAAATAAAAAACGAAAGAATTCTGGAATAGCAGCAATTATAGACAATAAATTTGTTGACACTAAGTGCTTGACAAACTTTTCCAATTAGAGGCAACAACAACAAGGAAATTATTGCCCAGTGGCGTGGGGTGGGAAAATGTGTTGTGGGGGGACTTTCTCTAGGCTGACTTGCAAATGAATTCATTCAGCCATATGACTGGAGCCAAGTCCGGGGCATGATTACAGGGCCCACGGCAGCCTAAGCTCCTTGCCTTGACGCCGTTTTCACGCATCCGCCTCATTGCGCTCCGCCTGGCACTTTGGTTGCCACCAAGGATTGCCTATTGCTATAGCTATTGCCACCGCCACTTGGCCACCTAGCCACCTTGTCGCCTCCATGGGCAATCTCCTTAAACCAATTAACTTTCATTTGCCGCCATAACACAACCACAAAATTTTGCCTGCCAGCTTCATTTACGGTTTGATTCATTGGTTTATCTTTGGCTAAGGAAGCTGTGTCATCTGGCTCAGCAGTTGGAAAATGGAAAAAGTCGAGCATGAATAGAATTGCATCGGGGTTTTGGCTTGCAATCCGATCTGCATGGCACTGTTACAAAATGTTAGCTAGTTGACAAGGTTTTTTGATGATATTTCAGATCTTAAAGAAGTTCTGAAGTACGATCCCTGATAGCTTAAATTTATTACTTATCATTATTTTCTGAAATATCTTTCAAATCATAACCAATTCGTTATAATTTGCTCTCAGTGCTTCAGCGACGAATTGGTGTTATCGTTTGTACAACACCAGGAGCCAGCTGGCATCTGCCATCTGCCAGATGCATCCAGTTTGCATCCAAAATTTTTACCCTTCTTACCACACGGCCAGACACACAAAAGCTTTTGTAATTGCCTGACTCATGGCCCACATGACGTATACGTGTTTTGCATACGTGATTCGACCCCTCTGTGCCATTTCCATCCACATTTCCCTCTATGTACAGCTCTCTGTCTTTTTTGCAATTTTTGGGGCAGCTCTGGTAATTGGTTTTGAGTCTCCCGCACACGGATTCAACCTGTATGTGGCAGTGGCTGAGGTGAAAAAAGATTGAGGGGAGGTTTTAATTATGAGCATTATGAGCCCATTGAAAGGCGAGCCCTGCCTGACTGCCAACCCAACTATGCTGAACTTTTGGGTCCAAAAGCTGACGGCGCTTCTTAATAACTTGGCAACAAAGCATTTTGACGCCCCAAAGAATGGGGATAAAACGGGAATTAATTATCTTTTGACTTTCACTTTATTCTAAAAAGTTTTTCGACGAATTTCAAGGGAAAATAAACGCAAGTCTAGGAATTCTTACGTCGCTTAATGCAGTGACAGTACTTTGGTTAGCTGTCTAAATTAGGGAGTTTATTTTAAAGTGAAGTGTAAATAGCAGAAGGTTATTAAGGATATAGAATTCACAGATTTTTATATAAAAAAGTCGAAATAGATCCCTTCTAGTTTAGGAACCTTAAATGAGAGCGGATTTCTGGGCTGCCCAACTAAGGAACTTAACTTTGTCTAATCCTCGTTAGCATTTATTTGGCCAGTCCAGGTGTGCCAAAGGTAGTGGGGGGATTTCATTTTCGGCCGTGTTGGTATTTGAGGCATGTACAAAGACCCAAACACACACACACAAGCACTCACTTTCGTGAATATTCATTCAGTTCGCATTTACTAAAGCCCATTGTTATACGCACTCGTTGTTATTGTTGTCCTACGCAGGTGGTTGTGCGTGTGTGCAGGAGTGTGTGTAAGTGTGTGTGTGTGTGTGAGTGTGTGCGTGAGTGTGTAAAGTTATTAAAACCATTCAAAACGTTTGCTTTGGATCCAGATCCCGCTCTCTAAGCTCCCATTGTCTCCCAAACATTCCCATTCCTATACCCATTCCCCTTTCCCATTGATATCGCACGTGCAGCCATGTGTGTGGGCGTGTAATTTGCATAACTACATACCAGACCAATCCGGATCCAGTCAACAGGATATGAATAGGTTTTCGTCCAACCCCGCCCCAATCACTTCCGAATCCATCGATGCGGTGGGTCCCAGTCATCGTACAAATACCTAACAAAATGCCCCACAAAATTACATAACCGTTGCAAATTAGCACACAATGGCAGGTGTAAAGAGACAGGAGTCAATTCAATGTGACGACTGTTTGTGTGTCCTTGTTTGAGGTCCTGTTGCCTCATTGGAAACGGATAATCGCCGGGATGACTGTTACTCCTGAATGCTTATTTAACCATTTATTCGTAGTCTTGCTTACAAATTACTGGATTAGTTACTAATGTTCGTAAGGGGTTTATTTTGGTGTCCTTGCTAGGCAATATTACGATATATCCTTTAAAAACGATCGGCTGTTAGAACTTTAAGGAAAGATTACAAAGGTAAGTCGCTGTTTCACTATAGTAGTTAACTTGTAGGTCTAATATCTATCTAAAATCGATTCACAGGACGGTAAATAAACTTTTACAAATTGAAAATCCTAAAAAATTTCATCATTTGTTCCATTTCCCATCATAAAATACAAGGATATACAGTGTAGTTAGCAATAGCAGGCCCATTTAAAGGTAAAAGTGGGACAAAGTAATGTCACGCGAAACCTTCATAAAGTTACATGTTTACGGCAGGCGAAGATAAGTTTTTCCTAGCCATTAAAACGATGGCTTTATTTTACTCCACAGGCTAGAGAGCATTTCCCTGGCCAAAGACAATGTCGTTGGAAATGTGTCAGGGCCAATAGCCAGTTGGCCAGTTGGCCAGTCAACCAGAGTCCAGCCACTGGGCAACCTCACCTGCAACCTGTTGCCAAGGAAGGGTCAGCAGCAGGTGCACCTGTCACTGAAAGGGACGCGGTAGGGGGCTCAGTAGGTGGTTCAGTGGGTGGTTCAGTGGGTAGTTCAATGGGTGATTCAGTAGGTGGCTATCTGGGAGGTGGAGCGGAATGAATGCTGTTTCGCCTGCTCTGGGATATGAGAAATTGGGTTTGCGGTCTTCCAGTCAAATGCACCTCGAAATGGTTTTTATTCGATTCGAACCGAATGTTGTTTTGGGCTACCCAGAAGCCAGCATGGAAATTCATTAATACACTTGACTTGGCTAAAAAAACTAATTTCGTTTTGACTTCGGATGTAAATGCCTTTTGTGTGGTTTTGTGGTCTCTTTCTATTTCGACTTTTGTGCGAGGAAAATGTAAATATTTAAGATTTCTATTAATAGAATGAGGTTTGGAGGGAAAGTTATAAAATCTTTGATTATTTTGGAATCTATTAAAATGTTGGACTAGAATATTATTTTACCTTTTTGGTTAGTGCTTCTTTACTTTTGTATTGAATATCTCGGACTAGGGAGAAGAATTTAGAAATACCTTTTTATTTTTCCTGTGTAAATGAGTTGGCCCCGAAAACGATGTTAAATTTGAGGCAACCAATCCTCATCCGCAAATGTCTTGTTTTCACTGCATAAAAAGCACATTTGTAATTTGTTAGCCGAAATTTTGAGGTCTGGTTTTGGTCCTTTGGTCGCTCCGCAGTTTCGGTCGCCTGCATGTTACACTCTCGGGTAAAATGTACTTGCATAATTTATGCGAAATCAGCGACGTGGCTGAAAAAACAACCAGCATCGCCGCCAACTGGGTTTCTGGGTATAAAGAAGAGGAGCACTTTATTTGGCAGCCGGTGGCACGTAAAATGCTTTATCCCCGATTCATTGTCACCGAAAAGATGCTTTATCGCTGGCAGACTACAAATTCCAGCGCAGCTAAAAATATTAACGCTTGAATCTCATCCTAGACAGGTTTGATATCTGGCAGGTGGGAAAATGTCGGGGGTTGGTGCGTAATGGAGAGGGTGTTCTTATGCTGAGGGACATGACTATGACTGCGGGGCTGAATAAAAGAGCAGGAGGAGGGAGACAAGCAGAAGCAGTGCCCACATTTATCTTCTGGGCGAGGGAAAACTTTGTCTTTAGTCATTCAATCCTGCCCGCCACACGGACGCTTTTTTTCGGGGGGATTATGGATAATCACCTTGGCGCGGAAAGGAAAAGAAGATGCACGATGCCGTGAAGAAGACGCATTTGTTTTTATCGCACTTTTTACTTTAGGGAGTGCACTGAGAGAAAACGAATGTAAAGAGAAATGAATGCGATTAAATGCCTTTAAAATATATATGATAAATTTAACATTTCTGAACGAGTGAGACCCAAATCTGGAAGTTGAACTTGCAAATATAGTTTACTAAGTAAACCTATCGACAGTCTGAATAAGTTGAATGACTTTTCCCACTGTGTTCGTGCTTTTCATTCACTTTTTTTGTTGGTCCTGTTTATTTTTGCATAATTTTCTAAGCGTTGTGCCTCAGTTTTGGTACATTTTCATTTACCTCCTGCCATGGTGCCGTGCAAATTTGTTTACCTTCGTGCGTGCGCAAGTTTTTTCAGATTATGCAAAAGTTGAATTTTTCATTGCATACACTCAGGCGTATTATCTGCGCTGCGTGTCAATGCAAAACAACAACAAATACCACATTCTTCTTCGGAAAATTCAATGAGAAGACGAGAAACAACAACAAAAAACAACAAGCAAGCGTTTATATTAAATTGTATTATTTTCCTTGGGCGGGAGCCTCATTTTCGAGCTGCCCACGGGCCGCCATAGATGTTTACTTTACTGTATTTTCTGTAAACTTGCCGCCGGTTGTTTTTCGGCCTGTTCTTGTCAGCGTGCCAGGCAAATGAGTTTACGAGCAGGACAGAAAAAAAAAATAATAATAAAGGAAAAGGAAAAGCGAACAAGGAAAGGAAAACTAACTTTGTGCACATCTTACTTAGTTACAGGCCTCCCTTGTTTTCTCTGTTTTACCCCCATGTTCGACCCTCTTCGGCTGCTTTTCGCTCCCCTTTTTGGACTCTGGAAAAGGATACTCTACATGGGGTCAATAGGTCTATAACTCCCTGCTTAAATGGGGTTTTTAATAAAGTGGTTCTGGCATAACTTTTGGATTTCTTTAGAAGATGCAGAAAATTCTCAGTTTTTAGTCGGTAAATCAGACTAAATGAATATTAAAATTAGCTACATTTTAACCTGTTGATAAATTAAACTTTTTTCTAAGTGATTTCCATGTGTATTCCATGTGACCTATTTAACATTTCATAAAGAGTGTGAAAATGTTCGTCTTAAACAAAGTTGACAGGCTCTTTTGTTCACATCCTATCTTTAATGTCCTCGTGTTCGCTGGCTGGGCCTGGGAAAGCAAATTTCAAACATAATGAGGGTCAAACAATATTTGTGATTTGGTTTTTTCGAGGCAACAAGAAGGGCTCTGTTGTTCGCGAGGCTGCTATTGTTTTTCTTTTTTTTTCTGCTGGCCACGAAACAACATTACCAGTTTGTGTACATGGAGGGGGAACATATTTAACCTTTTCGGAGTAAGGGTTAAGTCTTTAACATTTTTGTCAGGTTCACTCAGATTTTTGCCGGCTATTCATTTTTATTTCGACATTTATTTGACAATATTTGTCTTTATATTTTAAAAAGGCTGTGACATTTAACTGTGAGTTACCCTGCTCATTATAAATGTTTAAAAATCTTTACTAGTGTCAATTTATGTAACGTGTTTATTCAGATTGGTAGAACTACATTTCATGGCAATTGGAACTTTCTAATCTAATTCAAACTGTTTTCTTGACAAAAATATGTAGAAATTAACTTTTGGTATACAAATTATCATTTTTTATTATTTGATTGCTAATGGGATTAAGATAGAGAAGCCAGAAGCAACGCATTTATTAAAACATTCTTTGATATTATCTATTATTATCATAAAACGTAAACCTTTTGCTTTCTATTGTTTTAAACTAGGCGCCATTTCCTTTCTATCGATTACTTGTAGCGATATTTCGATAAGCTTCAAGCCTATGGTCACACAAATGACAAGCGACACCTGTCGGGAGGTAGCTATAAGTGCCTAAAATGCTGCCATGCAAAAAAAAATATAATTTGGCGGGTCTTTTAAAATTGAATTTGTTTTTGTTACTTAAAATATGGAATTCTATTGTTTTTAAGCCTCTAGTTACTAACTTGTTTTATATTGCATTTTTTTAATGAATTTATAATTATGGTTTTGGAGCTTACCTAAGCGTAGACCAAGTTTATTCCCTTTTTCCCCGTCTTATATCACGCTCTTTTTACTTCTCTCCCGCTAACTCTCTTTCTCTCTCTTCCTGCCTCTGACCAACCACCACCAACAGGCGATAGCGGCGGCATTTGAACTTTCAACCCCCAAAAAGCCACGTGCTCCTGCAGCTTTTGGCCTCCTTTCCGCGTACGGCAATCAATGAAAGTGAAGCTTTGCCCAATTTAAAACCCGCTGCCAACCGAAAAAATTTCCATGCAGAGTCCTGCGTCAGTGTTTCTCCGAGTGTGTGTATGTGTGTAGTGGAAGTGGTTGTGCCTGCGATGGTGGTGGTTCACCACTGATTCGAATCCACCACGCCAATTCGCAAGCTTCGCGCGGCGCCAAGCGATTTGGATTCAGTTTACAACGGAAAGCACAAATCAACGGTCGTGAAAATCGAGCAAAGCTCCGTGTGAAAAACGCAGAAAATTCGTCGAACGAAATTGATATCGAGCGTTAAGCTGGCTTAAAGCGGAAATCAAAGAAAGAAAAAATTCAGTGATTTTCCAAAGAGCGCGCGAGTGTGTGTATCTGTGTGAAAAGTCCGCTTGAAAGTAGCCTGGAATTTTAAATCCCACAGCCAAGACAAACTTTGGTACGGAACAAAAAAAAAACCAAGGCGAAACTTTCTGCCTGACGTGTCCTGCCCACTAGCACACACACACACACACAGACGAACACATCCCAAAGGACTTCCTCCCTGTCCTTTTCTCTCTCTCTCTATCTCTCTCGCAATATCTCTGGTTCACTCTCTCTCTCTCTTTATCTCCTGTTCAAAAAAAACAAAACTCGAGGTTGGGGATGCACGTGGAATTTTGTGAAAACAGTGAACTTAGCTTTATGTTAATTTTGCTTGTTTCGTGCCCTTAGCGCCAATGTAAATCTGCATTTTTGTGCATTCTAAGCGAATTCGCATTCCAAAAACCAACAAAACGTCAAAATATCTGCTAAATACATTCAACTTTTGCACGTTGACATTTAAACTACAATATCTGTATATATGTTTTAGATATATAGTACATCGTAAGAACTTGGGAAAGCCAAATCAGATTTTGGCAGTGGAAGACCATTAATCACTTGACTTAACGGTCAGCGTAAACAAAAAATTTTAATTTGATTCCTTAAGCGTTTTCGTTTGAGTTGATTTGCTAGGTTTTCTTTTTATTTACGTTTTTCAATATAAGTGGACCAAAAAAAAAATTAAGAACTCTTTTAAATATGTTTTTTTTGAGAATTTTCCATTTTGTTTATTTATTTAACGGTTTCTAATGCTACGAGAGGATTTTTATAATCTAAACCATTGATGAAAAAAGTACAAAAAGATCTCTCTAAGAAGTATCTATTAAAAACTCAACACGGATAGTAATCAATTTTCTATAATAAAATAATAACAAACATTTCAAATCCATAAAATATAAATTTTTAAAGGTTTAAAAAACATTTCCCCTTTCTGAATTCTCTTTCTCTTGGAGATTCTGATAAAGTGCATTGGGGCTGGCAATGGCATTGGCCGAGGGGATGTTTTGGGCCACAAAAAGCTCAACCCTCCCCCAACGACCTCAACAGGCCAACAGTTGATGTTGATGCTGTGCCAAAAAAACAGTGGGAAGCACAAGAAATTGAACTTTGTGCCTGTCTGATTGCATTTTGCTTCCTCACTTCGCTCTCTTTCAGACACCCTCTTGCCATCTCTCTCTCTCTCTCTGTCTCTCTAAGGTGAGAGCGAAAGTTGCCCATGTACAATGGGTTTTTATATATATGGTCTATATAAGGTACTGGGTACACTGGTATTTTGGCAATCTTCTCGGCCAGACAAGTGCACTGAGTCCGCCTGAATCCGGGCAAGCTGACTTGCCTTCTGATGAAAAATTAATGTTGTGTTTGGGTTTGGGAGTGAAACACTTGCCACTTATCGATCGCTAGTTTGGGGCAAAAGGTTAAGTTGCACAAAGGAATTATGAGTCGAGGAAAGGGTTTGGCTTTGTGATAATAGATTATAGTCGAAAAGGTTGGCCACGCCCTAAAATGTCTTATTAATCATTAATTATTAAGATTCAAAACGATAACCGATTCGGAAATATAAGAAACTATTTTTGGTTTAAAGTATAAAAACAAATTTAAAGTCTAAATAAATGTTTATTAAAGCTGACATTTTTCCTTAAAATTAAATTTCCCAGTGTACTTTCCAAAGGAAGTTCTTTTGTTTTGCTTTGTTAAATAATAAAATTGATAGTTTATAGTTTCTCTGAATGGTATATATTAATTTCATTGCAAAAGCAACAAAAGTGAAAAGATTAAGGCTGAGACAAAATAAATAGAAAAAATGTTTGAGTAAGCAATCGGTAGACACTTCCGAATAAGTTAGTTCATTATATTCAAAAATTACTCTACTTATGTATAAAAAGGAAAGGCAAAGTTGCTGTGCATATTTATAAATTTCTTAGTAAATTCAATTTACTCATTAAATTGATTTCTAAAACTCTGCTTGAAATACTATATAATCGGTGGAAATTTTCCATAGTTCCTCTGCCTAGCACATCAGCTGCGTTTATTTACATAATGTTGTGGCAAAACAAACCTTCCTTCCTTTGAGAGGCAGCTGACCAAGGTTAAGCATGCGTAAACAATCCGGATGGGGAGCTCCGTGGAAAGTAATCCAACACCCATGACAGGGGGATATCCCTATTATCAGTTTAAAGTGCCTACACAATAGCTTTAGATTCTAAAAATGGACTGGCGCCGATTTCCAGGAAATCCACAGCTTCGACTACCACCACCCAAACTTGAATGCATTCGAAGGCTGGGCATCAAGGTCAGACGGAAGCGGAAGTTGGGGGAGGTTTTTGGAGGGGATTGGGGAGGAGATAGTAGAGTGTCCTCGCCAAATTTCGGCGCAATTCTCGCGTTGGCGCCAAACGATGGCCAAATCAATTACCAAGAGCAAAGGGCGAAAATTGCATATTGGCAGTCAGCTAGCAACTTGCGCAATACCGCGCTATTTACGTTTCGAGTGTTTCCAAAAATAGCCAAAAATATGAATATTCTAGTTGGCATTTCAAAATTTACATTCAGAAGAAACATAGAGAAACGATTTGCAAAGCCGCAGCGTAAACAAAAGGCCAATAAAATGTGCAAAATCGATTGCGTAAACAGAGCAGAGTTTCATTGGCAATCAAATTGCATGATTTATGCAGAAATAGGAAAAGACAGCTGGCCCTCCCTCTCCATCCCCCTTGGGGGAATTCCACCTTATCCGCAAAGTCGTTCTTATCGATTTAGCCTGCAACACGCCATGTCATCAGATTCGCCTACTTGTTTTATTTCCCCCACTACTACTGCTACTACTATTATTTTTTCGAGCTATTTCGAGGGCACTTTAACCCGGGAATGAGCTTTAAATTCGATTCTCCTGACCCGCCAGAAGGGGATGAACTTTTGTCTTTTTTTGGTTTAACATTTCTGCCACGACGCAATAGGTTTTTGTCCTTTTTTTTCGCAAGGGTCCTAAGCTTTCCTACCTGTGTACCCAGTTGTTTGCTTTTTCGGTAAATTTCCATTCATTTAAATTCCAACCAGATGGGTTTTCTCTTCTAAATCCCCGAGTTATGTAAGCAGGGGAAGGCAATTCTTCAATTAGGTCCTGTCACTGCCAATCAGTCGCAATCTTGACCCCTCATTCAGTAATTTCCTACGGCAATGATTTAAGCATTGTGTTTGCCTCCACTTAGTGTGTGTGAATGTGCGGTATGGTGGGTGGGTTGGTGGCCAAGTATTTTAACCCATTCCAATGACAGGGCCATGGCCACATCCTGGCCAGAGCTTTATTTAGAAACGCCGGTGATTGAGCGTAAAAGAAAAGAAAAACCCACCCATCATCCACCCATTTAACTGCGACGCAAAAGGCAGCAGCAGCAGCAACAGCAACAGCAACAGCAACATCAGCCAGCACAACAATCACAGGACTTTAATATTTTCACACTCTGGTTTACGTAACAGCAATCGGATTGTGTAATCAGAGGACGAGACTTTTCCCCGGGAAAACTCAGCGGGGCGGACATGTGCGGAAAAGTGCATATTGGCGTCCTTTGATTATTGCCACTTTCCATGCAATTTAATCGGAGAGACATGCCAGCTGCCTGGCAGGGTATAATCCTTTTCGTTCTGTGCATCCGCATCCATGAGATACATTTTGTGGGTGTAACTAGATAAATATTTACACCGAATGGTTTGGTTGGGTATTGCGATTGCGGAAAACGTATTTGGAAAATGTGGCAGCCATCAAAAGACGTCATAGCGCACATTACGTATACGCAAGATATAGAAGAATAGTCGAAGAATATATAGCGTAGAGGTGTGTGCGCGTGTGGTTCGCCACCCCGCTGAAACCTTCCCCCCTGTAAGTCCATCAATGAAGCGGCAGGACGCCAAAAGCTCGCGAAGAGCTTTCTCTATTCTCTTTCAGTGGTGAATTGCTGCTTCTTGCCACACAGCTGCTGTTGCTGCTGCTGCTCCAAACAACACACCCATGGCTCTCACGCTCTTCGCTGTTCTGCTCTGTTCTCTAGCCCTAATTTACTACGTCAGCAACAGAGGACGAGCCTCCAAGTAAATGGCCACCACATAGAAACGCACGACCCATGGGCAATGTAACCCCCATTTTCGTGCCACCCACCATATTGCTCTTTTCTGTTTTTTTTTTTTTTTTTTGGTTTTCTGGTTGCTCTTTCAATTTGAAACGACCTTCTGCGGTGTTGGCTAAAATTTTTGGCTTTCCTCTACACCAAGCAACAAGGTTCAGGAAGTCACGTTTCGAGGGGGTGGGTGGGAGGTCATTGCGATTTAGTCACTCGTAAACAGTCCTTGGAGCTTTTGGTTTGTTTACTGCTGGAACTAAGGTTTTAATTAACCTTTGAACCCCCACATATGTACGTGCCCCAATTCGTACACTAAAACAAATTATAGACTTCATGAATGAATAAATATCTCTGCATCATATGGAAGTATCGGAAGAAGGCAGCTATACCGTTTTCCCTCGATCCATTTTAAGTAAAAGTTTAAATTCTTTTCAATAGGTATTCCCTAGAATTTGAACAATAATTTCAGGTGTAACTTATTTAGCAAACTAATCCACTAATCCTAAATAACTTAAGCCAGAAAATTAATAAGCATTAGACATTAACATGATTTCCCCTACCTCTATACCAAATTTGCATAATAATAAAATTACAAAACATGAAAGGTAGAGAAGGAATAGAAGCAGACGAAGGCGTGGGTAGACCGGCAAAAAGTTTCCATTAACCAGCAGAGAACCCGCCTAATGGCAAACAATTAGGACACAAATTGAGTTAGCAGCCACTAGAAGTGGTCTCAAGGACGAACCGCCACACAAATGGGCAAACAACAAGCCCACACACATATGGATACTCAAAGAGTATCGATCAAACAATGGGGTCTCAGTAGGGAGAATCCTGTTCGCGAATCCTGCCATTTCCTAATCGGTTGCTCCACTTTTCCGCAGACGGTAACCACGGACACTACGCCAGGGCAATCCGCACGTTGATGGCTGCCACCAAAATCATCGATGCGCCGCGCAACGGCCACGAGATGGCTCCACTGAACACACGGGCACGTGGCGATGGTACCCATGGTGTGACCATCGTTCTTACTGCCCCCCAGCGTAACTCCGTGCAATCGGTGGATATTCCTGGCAATGAGCCGGAACGTGCCGCCTGGAGCGGCAAGATGCAGTTCTTCCTCAGCATTATTGGCTATTCGGTGGGGCTGGGCAATATCTGGCGGTTTCCCTACCTGTGTCAGCAGAATGGAGGAGGTGAGTAAATTAAAGTTATTGGAAATTTAAGTGTTTTCTATGTAAAACATAGTTTAAATCTTAATAAGAAGTTAGTTTCCCTACTTAATGTCAATTAAGTCAATTCTAATGGAACTATCTTAGAAATTATACATAAAAGATAGATTTGTAAGATACTTTTGTAAATCATTTTATCTAAACTAAACTAGATATTTTGGCGTGCAATTACACCATCTACATTATAAGTTTCATAAATGCATGGAATTCGATGGTAAGCCTCGGATTACCTGGGCAAAAAGCGCAAACTGGAGCAATATTTTTCAATCAATGTCTGTTTGACTGCATGGGTCACCTGAGCGATAACGCTAAATTGGGTAGACCCCCGCCTGGGCCCCCTTGGCCGTTGACATGTGTCATATCCAATATCAGTTGGCCAACGAACTGCAGCTAATCAGGTGCACAGCTTTGACAATAACATTATGGGATTTAATGTGCACTAATTGCCTGGCTTTCGACGGCGGAAGGGCCTCAATTGGGTGGGTGGCCTTGGGTGGGGCACTGGGCGTAGGTGGGTGGGCACGCACATTTCTAATGGCGATTTAAACCCCACCCGGGTTTTAATTCAATTACAATTGACAGCCTGACCAGGCATAGAAGTTAGAATACTCTCCTGAACTAGTTAGTTGGCCAACTAGATATTTCCCATTCCGGCCAGAAATGCAAATTTCCGGATTGATTTGGATTGATTTTGTGTCATGTCACTTGTCAATCAACTTTTGCACGGAGAGAAATAATTGAACATCTATTCTATTGTATCTTTGGTTATAATAGGTCATTAGTTAGTAAAAAAGAATGTTATAAGGAAGTCATTACTTTCTATTATATGGGTAAAAAGGGTTTATTTGTATACTTTTGGGTACTTTAATAAGTGAATATTTTGAATACTAAAGGCATATATTAAATCATTTTTATTATAGTTTTCATTTATTCGTTTTCATTTCTACCATTATTTTTCATTTTCTACCATAAACTACCATAAACCATGATATTTTCCCATTTGCAGGCGCCTTTCTGATACCCTTTATGGTCATGTTGATACTGGAGGGCATTCCGTTGTTCCTCATAGAACTGGGAATCGGTCAGAGAATGAGATTGGGTGCCTTGGGTGTATGGAACACCATCCATCCCTGGTTGGGTGGAATCGGAATCTCGTCGTGCATAGTTACGCTGTTCGTGGCTCTGTACTACAACGTGATAATCACGTGGGTGTTCTTCTACCTCTTCAATAGTTTTCGGGTGAGTTTGTAGTTAGTATAGATTAAAGAATACCCTTTAACTAAAATATAACCCCAATAGTATCCGCTGCCTTGGTCGTCCTGTCCATTGAATGGTACAGGATTTGAGCTAGAGGAGTGCGCCAAATCTTCGGAGACGACGTACTTCTGGTACCGCACCACCTTGGATGCAGCACCGTCCATGGATGAACCAGGTGGCCTTAAGTGGTGGATTGTGCTCTGCCTAATGCTGTCCTGGACCATTGTCTTCTTCATCGTTATGAAGGGTATCCAGAGTTCCGGCAAAGTGGTCTACTTCACCTCGCTGTTCCCCTACATTGTCCTGACCATCTTCTTTATTCGCGGCATCACGTTGAGAGGAGCAGGAGCTGGGCTGATGCACATGTATACGCCGAAGGTGGAAAAGTTACTAGAACCAACAGTTTGGCTGGACGCAGCCACGCAGGTCTTCTATTCCTTTGGCCTGGCCTTCGGGTCGTTAATAGCGTTTGGTAGTTATAATACGCCCAAAAACAACTGCGTGAGGGATGTGCTCCTGGTGTCTGTTTGTAATGCCGTTACGGCCATTTATGCCAGTGTGGTCATCTTTGCCATATTGGGCTTCAAGGCCACCGTAAATGTTGACCGGTGTATTGCCAGGTGAGTGAATGGACGGACGACGGAGGGAGTGTACAATGGGTTGTACGCATCAGTGGGTCTAATATAGGTGGGTCATCAATGTGCTGACCAGTTGTAACCGGCACAGGGCAAAGAGTCTTTTATATCTATTTGCGTATCAATGAGTCGCCGGTGGCTGTCTCGGTGGGTGTATCGCACCGCCCATTCATTGATATTCGAATCGATATAGGGGTATATGGAATCGCGGTCGTGTCTGTCAATTTGCATCAATTAACGGACCCACGTTGAGTTATGCACAATTGCTCTTGAACTGACTTCTCCATCGGGTTCTAACCGATTTCAACTGGTCTTCATTGATTACTGATTATTGTTTCTTCCTTTTTTTGCCCCCTCTACTGCCTCTCAGTAACACGGAAATCCTGGTGAAGAACAAGCTGCTGGGCTTAAATGACACTCAGGGTTATCAGCATGCCATGAGTCTGCTGAATGACACTGAGCTAACTAGACTGCAATTGAGCGAATGCAGTTTGGCCCATGAACTGGATAATGTGAGTACTGTTTGGGATCTTCAAGCCTTAAGGTTTATATTATATATTATTGATTTATTTTAATAGGCCGCCGAGGGCACTGGCCTGGCCTTCATCGTCTTTACCCAGGCCATTGTTGAACTGCCAGGAGCTCCTTTCTGGGCCGTACTCTTCTTCACCATGCTGCTATCGCTGGGATTGGGCTCACAGATCGGCATCCTGGAGGGCATGCTGTGCACCCTATTCGACATTGACATTATCAAGCGGGTTAAGAAACAGCATGTCACTGGCGTGGTGTGTCTCTTCTGCTTCATTGTCGGTTTCATCTTCTGCACAGGTGCCGGGGAGTACTGGCTCAAGATGTTCGACTCTTTTGCCGGCACTATTGGTCTTGTCGTGGTGGCCTTGATGGAGATGATAGCTGTGATCTTTATCTACGGACATGAGCGGTGAGTTGGGTTTCCTTCTTAAAGTTGATCAGTTTCTTAGTAATCAACTCTCCTATAGCTTCACTGAGGATATATACCAGATGACTGGCTACCGACCTGGTCGTTACTGGCAATGGACTTGGCGGTACATTGGCCCCGTCATCATGGTCTGTATCTTGGTTTCGTCAGTGGTCTTCATGGTCATCAGGAATCCCACTTATGGTGCTTGGAATGCTGATTTGGTAAGTGGTTGATGATACTCCAGAATGGTTCTTTATGGTCCTTATTTTGTGCTCAAAGTTTATTCAATTTCTAACTTTATACCTTTCCTTTCCACAGGGTATGATTGAGCAGAAGAGCTACCCCAACTGGGTGATGGCCATTGCCTTGTCCATGATCCTGGCCGGCGTCCTGCCCATGCCCATCGTGTTCCTTATGCGTAGCTTCCAGTGCCTCAAAGTGGATCTGGATATCCACCAAGGATCAATCCGTCGTAACGAAACAACAGCCTCCACCAAGGAGATGATCGACAACGATGATGATGTAAGTGCAGATCTTGGCTCAAATCGGTTGATAAAACTTTCGATTCCAACTCGATTTGAGCTTTTCTTTGTAACATTCGTTGTGTTGTTAGGCTAAGATTACGCTCATCTCTCTCTCTCTCTCTATTTTGGTCTATACGTGTGACTAATTGTGTCTTTCTCTCACCTAACGAAACATTCCTCACTTTTGCGCTTGTTTTTTCCTATCTGACAATGCTTACATCCAAAATACCGAAATACATAATACCAAATCACGCTCATTGTCGTTCAGAATATGAGTCCGGATATGCCACCGCAAGATTCACTAGCGGCGACACGCTTCACAATTGGAGACTTTGAAGTAAGTTGTGACACGTCCTTCTGGATAGTATGAAAGGCTCTAGCCACTCCAGAAATCCCCTCAAGAAAACCTCCCGTCACCTGCACATCTCTGAAAACACTAAAGCTAATCCCACGATTCTCTGCTCTTCTTTCCCTCTGCTCCCGTGTCCACTTTCATTGGTCAATGTTTAGAATTAGAACGAACTAAAAGCGATACCGATACCGATACCGATACCGTACCCGATACCGAAAACGAAAACGAAGCCATGGATACGAACTTAAGTGCTGCGCCAAGTTTTAAAGAACCCCAGAGAAATCAGAAATCAGCCGAAAGTTAAAACTAGGATAGCTCTACAAAATAGTTCACTAAAAGCCTAAAGCATGGCCCAGAAACACAGAACACCGAACACCGAACACTGAACACTGAACACCCAGAGAAAAACTAAGGACATTCCTCGACTCAAGTAGAAACCAACTGCTCATCCTCGGTTACCAAGCAATTACCTGTACTCAATACCACTAAGAACTAATCAACGCACAGCAATTAATCGTAGCTAGCAAAACAATCGCAAATAGCTCTTTTAAACCAAAAAAAAAGAAAAACAAAAAGGAAAACCAAAAGAAAACTGATAAGGCCAGAACAATTATTTACAAAAACTTAAGTTTAGGGAAAAGACTAGCAAAATCGCTTCAAGGCTCAGCAGATGGAGTAGTAGGGTAAATGAGTGTACATAGTTATAGGCGGTTCTATATCATATAGAAATCCAATTGGCGGCTGATCTAATGGCTAACAAGCAGGTAAAGTAATGGAGAAATTAACATTTTGTTTGTTGGTTCGTTTGGTTGTGTTTGTTCATTGTTTCAATGTTTTTTGATATGATTCAAATAATGTTTAATATGCAACATCAGTGGCGGATCGAAGATTTCATTGTTTTCTTAAATAATTTATAATTTAAATAATAATTTTAAGCTTTTAAACAACCGAAATCCCTACCGATCCGCCACTGTAAAGAGCCATGTAATGTACATCTACTTTACATCTACATTACAGTTGCATTGTACTTAAGTTTCACTGGACTTTTAGTGGTTATTATTTGAAAATTCTGCCGTTTGGGGCCAGCCGTTGGCCGTGTAGAGAGCTTTCGCTTGAGCTTGTGTAGAATATCAAGTATACGCAGCGTGGTGTCAGCTCATTTGATTTATGTACTATAATTTCGTAAGCAGTTCTTGATTTCCTAGAGGACTCTCTGTCTGTCCGACCATTTATCTGCTTGACATGCTGAAGCCAAACTTCATCCACTTTTTCTTCTCTCGCCCCTCTTTCCAATCAGGACGACGAGGACGATGAGAACGACTTCAGTGGTCCGGCGTTGGGTGGTCATGTGAAGACCCAGAGCGATTTCTCCGATGACGAGGAGGAGGACAAGCCCATGACCATGCGGATGATGATGATGCGTCCGACAACAACAACCAAGACATCGAACGTGCTAAATGTGCCAACAAGCAGAAAGAACAACTACAAGAAGGATGCGTACGATGTCTAGAAGAGCCACTAACCAACCTCACTCACAGATACATAGATACCGATAAAGATACAGATACAGATACAGATACAGAGACAGATACAGGTAGAGGTCCAGGTACAAGTCCAGATACAGATACAGGTCCAGGTCCAGATGTGAACCGAAACGAAATGGCAAGTGAAATACTAATTTATCGGAGACGAGCGGTAAGACAGAGTGCGCGTTAAGCTGAGCGCAAAAACATTTATAAATATTTACTATAAGTATTTTAACATAATTTAAATCTAAACTAAGTAATTACCAGAATAAACAGCCCAAGAATTGCATTCGAGTGCGTAACTAAAATTGTTAAATCGTATTTTAACACAAACTGAACTCAACCCCGACAAAAACAAAAGATAAACTAAACTAAAATCTAACAAACTATGTATGAGTACAATGTGCCGCAGGATGATAGGTATTATCTAAAAACGGGTTGCTAAAGATCTTAATTCGATTATGTAGCATTTAGTTGGAATGCTTAAAGCTTTACCATTAGACACTTGAGCACACAAAAACTGAAAGTATTTCTGAAACCCCGAAAACCGCAATCCATGAAAATCCTTCACAACCACCCGCCACATCCCAGAGGAAAATGAAACTCTTCAATGGCAAACGCTTAATAGTCGACTTTTAGCCAGCGCATTTCCAAAGAGTTAAACTCAACATTTAGTTTTAGTATCTAGATTCTGCCGTTTTTATTTTGACCTCAAGTAGAGCTCAGACGACCCTTAATTAAATAAATTAAATAAGTAATCTTAAAGAAGTTACACACTTTAAAATTACTTCAAACTGGTTAAGAGCGTTGAGACACAATATTAACACTTCGAGTTCTAGTTGAGTTACACAAATACCTATACTTACTATATTGATTAGAGAAAAGATACATGGAATGTGTGATATTCTAAATAATATCCTCGATGTTTAGGTGTTAAGACTTGTCACCCTTATCCCTTAACCCTTAACACACTCACCCAATCTCATTCCCGCCCCCATTGAAAACCACTCAAGAGTATTTTCCCCACACTGACAGAGCTAAAACAAAGAAAAACAAAAACATGAAAAATAAACTGCTGTGAATAGTTTTAGTGGTTGTAAAGTTCTATCGAAGAAGGGAAACCATAAAGCGTCTAATATTTAACTAGTTATTAAGCGGCACTCCATTTATTCACAACTTGAGTTCACTCCACAGGATATTCCCTGTACTACCCATATCCAATTCCAATTCGGTTTCCACAAAATGGTTCTCATACAATCCCCCTCCAAACTTTCGCTTATTTCGGTAAGGCAATCGCAACACAGATTTTTGAAAACTGAAAACTGAAAAAAAAAACTGACAAAACTGAATCAAAACACATGGAATTTCGAAGTACTCAAAGGAAGGGACGGCAGAACGTTGAAGACAATAAGACATATATAGAAATATACTTATGATATGGCCCGTCGAGTTTAGAGAGATTTGTAGTCACCGACGCGGTAGATTTCCCCATAGCAGAGCAGGAATTTTGTCCACTTTTAACCATTATTTTTGGGAGATTTGTATCCATTTTGTACACCGCCAATCAAACTAGAACAGTTCCGATCTCGGATCCGTTTCAGCCAGCAGATTTATACGTACGTTTACATGACCGTAAAGTAAGAGGCCACCTCACCAGATTAATTAGTTGTCCCCAACTCCCCCACCTTATCCATTAAAGTCGTATCCTCGCAATGCAAACGCAACCGAAACCGAAACCAAAAATGAAGAAACATACATAGTACCAAGCCTAATTGTATAGTTTACTTGTTTACGCCACTATATATACGAGCATTAAATCTATATATATATATACAGTACATATTAATCTATATACCTAGCTCTACTATAAATATTGTATATCAATTATTGTCGTAGTGCTAAAGACCCGGACTCGTGTAAATTTGAATGTATTAAAACAAAACACAGAAACACTGCAAGGAGATGAATACTTATATGAAAAATTATTGTACCGTACGCAAGAAATTATTATTAATAAAGATATTTCATGATTAGTGCGTTAAGTTGAAGAAGAGCAAAAAGGAATTTGAAAGTGTGTTTTTTTTTTGTTCTTGGGAGGTTCTACTGTACCACAGCTGGCATGGCAGACGAATCTGCACGTCTTTTTTATGGCTTTTTGATAGACGACAATGCCTGGTATTTGGTTTGTTGTCCCCTGGTCAGAGCACCTTGGACCGGGAGCTAACAATTACCGATTAGGCTTATCGCCCAGGGGAAAGTTTCGATTTGTTATGTTTATTTTTGTTTTGTTTTGTTTTTGTTTTGGTAACATATGATTAGACAAGTCAGGCCCCTCCACTAGTTAGACTTACGTGAAGAACTTCAAGAACTTCCCAGCTAAAGAGTAGCTTAGCTTGACCTTCTCTATTGGCTATTTCGGTTAGTTGGTTTATTGGAAAGCAGCATCGTAAATGACATTGGCCTATAAATATGCTAACACTAAAACGATAATTCCCGACTGGAAGCCACGGTCGATATGACTGAAATGATAAGCGGAATGCAAGGGGGAAATATCAATTTATTAAGAGACTTCACTGAACGAAAAGTGTAAGGTTTTTGGTCATAAACTTTTTTAAGCAGCCAAAGACCGTTTGGTAAATCGGGATATCGATTGCTTGAAAATATTTGGAATATTTTTCATAGGTTTTGATTTAATAATTTGGTCAAAACAAGAGCTACAGCGATAAGAAAGACTGTTTTGTGCAGCTAACGATCCGAACTTACGATTTCTGTACTTGTCCGACTGGTTTAGGAAACTCCATTTTTTGTCAATTTTTTATAGGGGGTTACATTTGAATTTTTTGCGAAAAATGGCCAAAAATTATCATTTTGAGGTGTGAATACAGTTTTATTAGAAATTTAATAACGAGTTCAATGAGGTATTACTTTGTATATTTTGACTAATTTTTGACAATTTTTTGGTCCAGATACTGAGAACTTTGTGAGAAAAATCAGGATAAGGATTAATGACCAATATTTGGAATATTTTTTTTCGATTTTTGTTCATAAATTGGTCAAAACAAGACATACAGCCAAAAGGACAACTGTTTTGTAAAGCTGACGACCCGAACTTTCTACTTTTTTCCTTGTCCGACTAATTTGGGACATTAAAATTTTTTTCAATTTTTGCATTTTTTATGATGTAACCCCTTATCAAAAATGCAAAAATCGGCAAAAAATGAAATTTCTGAAATAAGCCAGGCAAGGACAGAAATTGTAAGTTCGGCTCGTTAGCTGCACAAAACAGTCGCTCTTTTAGCCGTATGTCTTGTTTTGGCCAATTTATGAACAAAAACCTAAAAATATATATTCCAAATATTGGTCAAAAATGTTTTTCGCACAAAATGATCAGTATTTGGACGAATACATTGCTAAAAATTGGTCAAAATATAAAATGCAATGCCTCGTTTATCGTAAACGAGTAAAACTGTATTCACACCTTAAAATGTAAATTTTTTATCAAAAATGCAAAAATTGCCAAAAAAACGTAATTTCCCAAATCAGTCGGACAAGGACAGCAATCGTAAGTTCGTTCTGTTAGCTGCGCAAAACAGTCGCTGTTTTAGCCCTATGTATTGTTTGAACCAAATTGTGAACAAAAACCTGGAGGAATATTCCCCATATTCTACAATATTCGTTAACCTGATTTTTGGCATAAAAACTGAATATTTTTAGCCAATACAATGCCAATAAATAGACAAAACATAGAAAAATTCCTTTATTTCTTGAAATGTAGTAGCACTTCAGCGATGGCGTAATCCCAGCCAGTGTGATAACAGCGCAGACATTGCCAAAGAAGTCCACAGACCCGCCAGACCGGTGTGCTGTGAAAAGGGGGCGTGTTTAATGATTTTTCCAGGCACGTCTAGAGGTTTCCCAACCCAACCTGCTGAATATGCAGTGGGCGGCACGTAGCACGAGCAGCAAATGCAACGGCAACAAAGTCAGATCTTATCTTATCAGAGCCAAAACAAAAACATATAGTCCATATGCTTCAGCGGCAAGAATCGAATCGAATGGGATCGGGAATGGGAATCGGATGGGATCGTATGAGAGCGGCGGAGCAAAGACCCAAGTGGAGCCGAAAAAAGCAAAATGCTCGGCTGTCTGCGCATACATGTTACTTGAGCGCAGCGAGTGCCGCATTAAGTCAGTTTGGCTCGTTGTGCCAGAGCAGCAACAAGTGTCCCCCGCTATATCTGAATCTGAATCCAAATCCGAAACATAAGCTGTAGCTGCTGCTGAAACTGAAGCGCAACAAGTGCTATCCAGAGAAGAGTGCACTGGAGGGAGGCTGAGAGATAAATTCAAATTAGGTCGGCAATTTCATCAAATCAACAACAGTTGGGTCCAAGGAAACGGAGCGCAATAAATTAATTAAGACGGAGATAAAATTGCAACTGCATTTAGTTGCCAAGAGTGTTAGCGGGCAAAAGTGAAAGCGACTACAAACACAGGTGACAGAATGCTGCTCAAAGGTGCACAGCTGCTGCGATGCGGGTGAGTCTAATGGGATTCGGATTTTGTGGGATTGGCGGGAATCCAGGGTGGCGAGACCACGAAGCGATGTATTGACTGCTACCCGTTGGGTAAATACATTAGTCTTAGGAAAGTTCGAGAGATAATCAACCTGCAACTGTTAGGAAAACTACAGATACTAAAAGTTGTAGGAGGATGTTTAGGTATGCCATGGAGTTCAAAGGGATCCCAAATATCTTATCATTGAGTAATTTGTATCAACTGCTAATCAATCCATTTCTATCTACAATCATTTTGGCAGGGTAATTAATCTTATCACATTAAATATAACTTTATAAAATGAAAATATTTGTTATCTAACACGAATGTTGATACTGTATAACATATATAATTTGTTTTTTGTTGACTATTATTTCGATTTGCTGCTTATTAAAGTGTAAAACATCAGCAATAAATGACCAATAAATATTAAATGACATAATGATGTTGAAATGACGCTCTTCTTGGCTGATAATCTTAATTCGGCAATTAAATGTTCTACTAAAAAATTCATTAAATGAGATTGTATAATTCTTGATGATAAGAAAACAAAGGAAAATATAGCTTAAAGTTATTCAACAAATAATGTTAAATGTTAAAGTAAATGTTCTCAAAAAACGCATTTGATAAAGAGATAAAAAATAATTGTAATGATTAATGATTAATAATTATGAATCCTGAACTAATATACCCGCTAATTCCTTTCTAAAGGTATGCAAAAACATCTTAAATAACATTGTGTGGTCTACTTGACTTACAAGCCCTAAGGTTAATCCAACTTAGTATTTGCCATTCATTAGTAGCCTAACCTACCCCAACTAAGATATGTTACTGCTAGTTGTGATTCACTCTTATCGCATGGCGGGAAAATTCCATACTCTCCAAGTTGCTAAGCGTCCGTTACAATTTCATTCACGTAAACAAGAGACAAAGTCATCCCCAACAGCCCCGCCATCAATATCAATGTTAATGTCATCTATAAAGCTCCCAAGATCATTGCACTCGCCGCTATATATTCTTAATCTCTTAGGTGGCTGGGTTATTTGCATGCCTCTCTTTCTCTCTCTTTGGAAAAGCTTCAGTTTATTGTGATAGTAATTTTATGTTTACTCTTAAGGAAGATTAAGGATATAATCTTAGGTCTAGATGCTAAAATCAATTATTTTTCTATATATTAAGTTTTTTATATATTTTTTTTAAAGTGTATTAAACTTAAGGTGTTGCTTGTTGGATTCTTTTATTTCTTGTGGTGGTACAAATATTTCTCACTGCCTACTTTCAGGCGGCAGGTGATTGACCAAAGCCCCATAAGTTCCCTTTAGAGCCCCTATGTTTATGCAACACTTTTGTTCTTAAACATTTTGTTCAATGAAAAGCTTTTCTTTTCGATTCCCGCCTTTTCTTTTGTTTCGTTCTTTATCAGTGGCCCCCTTCTTTCTCAACCTCCTCCATCACCATGCCTTTTATTATTTTTGTAGTTTTGTTTTGACTCGTTTTCTCAGTATGCTCAAGTGTGTGTGTTTGTGATCGCTGGCAAGTTGTTCGACTGGCTCTGCCTTTCATTTCTTTGTGCGTATGTGTGTGAGCATGTGAGTGTGTGTGACGCCATTAGGCGGGCAAAATAAAAACAAAGCACTGCATGTATGGGTTTTTGAGGCCGCCTAGCAACAACGCCTCGAAATCTTTATCCGCCTGTTGACTGTTTTTACTTTTGGCTTCTGTTTTGATGGGGTGGCGTGTTTTGAAGTGTTTTCATTTTTGTTTTTCTTTTTGGCGATAAACCCACCCACTAAAAGCCAACTGCAGCAGCTCCAATTCAAGTTTTATTCAGTTGGGGAGGCATGTATCCAAGAGATACTTTTTCATTTCATGGAACTTCCATTGATGATAACCTTTAGACACAGCGACGGCGTCGAAGTAACAACAAAAATAAATAATATTATTGTTGACGAATCTATTTCTCAGGCCGAGCCCCTCGTTTGCGAAATTTGCCAAAGCAAAAAATATGTAGCCTTATTTATACAGGCGGGGAATGAAAACAATTTCTTAAATATAATATGTGTTAATTCTGCTTATCGGTTGGTAGAGACACGCGCCATTTCCGAAGGTTCCATCGATCAGCTGAACATGAGAAATAAGGCTCATATTTTGGTAATGATGTCATATCTGTTAATGGTTTGTTTACCACATATTCTCAGAATTCCCCAATAACTACTAGATAAGATTCCACGAAATAATGACGCTTTGTTTGCCAGCTTTTCATGAAAAATGAATCATTTTAAATAATTTCATTCATTGAACAAACTGCATTATAGCAATTACCAGAGCTCGCAAAAGTTTTCCAAGTAGACTTCACTCCATGTAGTTGATGGAATCAACCAGACTAGACAAACCATTACCTTATACACATTATACCACTCGTGGAGTACTTTAATCTAGAAATGTATACGTATTTCTATAGGGAAGCGTGGGCAGTCTGGGTTCGCTTATCAGTCGGTAAACAAAATACAAATTTAGCTGCTTCTATGCTATGGACTTTGATATGCGGTAATGAGCATTCTACTACAGCATTCCCTAAGTGCCTATAAACCATCCTCGAGACTGGATGCAATAAAATCCAGTTCGCACTGGGTTTCCTGCTAGACTTTCTGCGTAGTTTATGGACAATAGGAATTTATATGGGAACAATGCTATTTTAAAGAACAAGGAAGTCAGGAATCATTTGCTTACTCATGTTCTTTGTCATTTTTAAATATTTTCTGAATTAATATTAAGCTCTACTAGGAATTTTCAAAAGTCTGAAACGTGTGTTTACTTCAGATGACGTCTGATTGTAATCTTAGTAGCGGAAAACTTTGCATCTCGGGACTTGATAGGGTATTTTCCTCTAAACAAATCTAACGTCATAAGTCTAGGTAATAGCTAAAAACGTAATTTGATTTTAAGTAATAAAATATATATATAGTGTAGTTCAGTAAACTTGTAACTGAAATAGTATTTCCATTGACCAATTTTCCATCTCTGGTTTAAGTACCCATAAAAAGTCTGGCCACCACCCTTCGACTGGTCGACTGAATCCTCACACTGATAAGCCGCAGATTGTGGCTGCCCTTCGCCTTCATTTGATACGGGGTTCCTTCATTGGATCTAAGGCGAAGGGCCAAGGCTAATGAACCCGCTTCTGATGGAACCAGTTTCTTTATTTCGTCAGACTGCAAGTACAGTTTTTTGGTTGTGGAAAATCTGTTGAATCAGCTGACACCCCCGAATGACTGTTGCCAAGTGTTCTTTTTCTCGGGGGGACAATTCGTATCCCACAAACTATTAATAGAATGATATGTTCTTTTTCCAAATAAAAATTCACACACATACAGATAGCCGTAAAAACACGCGCTGCCTGAAAATTCAACGAATTTATTAAATGCGTATTTTTTTAAAAAAAAAAAACACAAATAAATGCGTAAACAAAAAGAAGAAGCTGATGAAGTTGGGAAATACACTTGGTAAATGCTTACTCATACGATTTCTTTACTTGCTATCAAGTTGGTAGTTTAGTTTGGTAGCCTTTTGGTAGAGCATGAGTACATGGCCAAAATAGAATGGTCACCATTTGTGGCGTCATTAGGGAGACGGTGAAGGGGAATCTACAGTTTGCCATTTCAAAAGGCCAGGGGAAATTCTCGAGACCATTCCGCGACATAGAAGATTGCTCTCTGTTATCTCCCAAAATAGCAACGAATACGCAGCGGATTTTCAGAATCCAATCGGGGCGCGTGTCCCTAATCAAATCCGAGGCGAGAACTCGAGTGCTGCTCAAATAATTAGCTGCCGGTGTCAACAGCGATAATAGACCGGTGCGATTTGGATTAAAGCGGTTTGTTTACCCATATGCTCTCTTATCAATATCAGTGCCATCATAAATATTGTCGGACTATTTGACTAGCATTTCACGACCAAACAAACTGCCAAATAAAGATCTCACACGCAAGAATCACGATAAAAGCCAGACGTTGGCCACAAAAAACCCACAACAAAAGCCAGTTAATATGATTAAATTAAACTCTAATTTTCATTCAATTTAGCAGTTTAATTGGCCATCTTCTACTGCCTTTCAGGGCTTAGAATTTGCAAAAGCCGAGACCGAGACATTGCGAGACATCGCTGGCTTTATCATTCACCTCACACGCCCCGGCCATGCAGACAACTTATGCTAATATAAACCAGGCCAGATTGGTCTACCTATCTATATACATATATATATATATATATATAATATGTAGAGCGTGTGGCGGAGAAAACTACGCAGTTCCGAAATTATAAAACATACATTAATTTGGGGGTATTTCTACTGTTCATCAGACATTCGACTGACGTCACAAGTGGGGCAACCCTGAGCGCGTGTAAACGATAATTCCGCTGGTGAGTTGGAGGCGGGGAATGACTAGACTTTGGACTCCATGTAACCGAAGCATTGTCTGGCATATGTGATTGAGTCTCTCACAACTCCGAGTCTCTGACCCACAGACATGTATCTGTGTATCTAGGTGATATCTACCGGAAACATGAGGTTCTACAGTGAGATACCACCACCAGAGTACCTGCTCTTTGCTTATCTGCAAAAAACCAAAACAGAGAGCACACAAAGATCAGTTGCTCATCCCAAGCCATGCCATGCCGTGCCGCAAAAAAAGATGATGAAAGATTGCATCATGCTGCCGGGGGAGCCCAAACTGGACCCGCTTCTAATGAAAGTGACGTGGGCTGGCCGCTACACGAAGGTTGGCTCGTATGGGGACCCCATTACCAGACATCCATCCATCTCTCTTTATCCCCTCCAGATCGCAGTGCGAAATGCGGCGAGCAAGTTTCTCGAGTTTGGAGCTCTCCAAAACCTGAACGACCAGACGAACAGCTGATCAGCCAGTTTGGTTGTATCTTTTTCTCATTGTTTTTGTTTGTATTTCGATTTTATTTGTATTCGTTTCTTTCTGCGGCACTGGCTCTTTTTCCAGCGGCGTTGCGTTACCGCTTAGAATTTGAAATTCACGTTACGAGGTCCGCCAAGGGGGTACAGTTGTGCTCGCTTCGGTTAGTCAGCTGTACGAATGGTGGTAGCTGTAGATAGAGTATCTCAAAAGGTCGTTGTGATTGATTAACGAAGTTGGTGGAGTGTCTTTCACTATCTGATAGCTATCAGTATCCTAACCTAGGTTAATATTGAGCAAAACTAAATTTTCTTTTTATTCTGAAGATATATAAGATTATGGAGATGAAACTATAGATTCTGATTCCATTATTCTGTATTAATGATAAATTTTACCCATTTCCGTTCTAGTTTGATCTCCCCACCACGGAGTTACAACTTCCGCCTGACCTGCCGCTTCCTCTCCGTTCAGTATGGAGATGCCAAAGTCCTTACCCCTGCAGTCAAGCAGTATGTGGAGAAGTGTGTGGATCTCTGCCAACCGGACAAGGTGCACATCTGCGATGGAACCGAAAGCGAGAGCAAGTTGCTCCAGGGACTCATGTTGAAAAAAGGAACCATCATTCCCTTACCCAAATACGACAACTGCTGGCTGGCGAGAACCAATCCAGCGGATGTGGCACGTGTGGAGGGCAAGACTTTCATCTCCACCGATAACAAAGAGCAGACAGTCCCGGTGACGGAAAAGGCCACTCCCGGAATGCTCGGCAATTGGATGGCGGAGAAGGACCTGCAGACGGCGATTCAAGAGCGATTCCCTGGCTGCATGAAGGGACGCACCATGTACGTCATTCCCTTCAGCATGGGTCCAGTGGGTTCACCTCTTTCCAAAGTCGGCATCGAGGTCACAGACTCTCCTTATGTTGTGGAGTCCATGAAGATTATGACTCGGGCTGGCAATCCAGTTCTGGAACACCTGCAAAGCGGGGATGGTCAGTTTGTTAAGTGTCTGCACTCGGTGGGTACGCCCAAAAGTGGTGTCCAGGCCATGCCTTCCTGGCCATGCGATCCCGAGCGCACCATTGTCCTGCACAAGCCAGCTGAGAATGAGATTGTGTCCTATGGATCTGGCTATGGTGGAAACTCACTGCTGGGCAAGAAGTGTCTTGCTCTCAGGATTGGAAGTACCATTGCCAAGAGGGAGGGCTGGTTGGCCGAGCACATGTTGATCCTGGGCATCACCAATCCGCAGGGTAAGAAGATCTACATAGCTGCGGCTTTTCCCTCAGCTTGTGGCAAGACCAATCTGGCCATGATGACACCAACATTGCCTGGGTACAAAGTGGAGTGTGTTGGGGATGACATCGCCTGGATGAAGTTCGACAAGAAAGGAGTTCTGCGGGCAATTAACCCGGAGAACGGGTTCTTTGGCGTGGCACCTGGAACCTCAAGGGCCACCAATCCCATAGCCATGGATACAATCTTTAAGAACTCAGTTTTCACCAACGTGGCATCGACATCAGATGGTGGGGTTTACTGGGAGGGAATGGAGAAGGATCAACTGAAGGGAGTGACAGTCACAGACTGGTTGGGTAAACTTTGGTCACAGGAGTCGGGAAAGCCGGCTGCTCATCCCAACTCCCGTTTCTGCACTCCAGCCTCTCAGTGCCCCATCATTGATCCCGCTTGGGAGGACAGTGAGGGAGTACCCATTTCCGCCATTCTCTTTGGAGGTCGTCGTCCTAGTGGAGTTCCTTTGGTCTACGAGGCTCGTGACTGGAAGCACGGAGTATTTATTGGAGCTGCCATGAGGAGTGAGGCAACTGCAGCTGCGGAATTCAAAGGCAAGGTGATCATGCACGATCCCTTCGCAATGAGACCCTTCTTTGGCTACAACTTTGGCGATTACCTGGGTCACTGGCTGAGCATGGAGCAGCGAGGCCAAGTGCCCAAGATCTTCCACGTCAACTGGTTCCGCAAGAGCAGCGAGGGCAAATTCCTGTGGCCTGGATTCGGAGACAACTCTCGAGTTCTGGACTGGATTTTCCGCAGGGTGGAGGGTGAGAATTGCTTTGAGGACTCTCCCATTGGTCGACTGCCCACCAAGGATTCCCTAAACTTGGAGAGTTTAAAGGAAAACATTGATCTCGAACAGCTATTCGATCTGCCAAAGGACTTCTGGGAGCAGGAGGTGAGTGCCATCGAGAAGTACTTTGAGGAGCAGGTTGGTCACCATCTACCAAGTGCCGTTGCCGACCAGCTGAGGGAGCTGAAGGCGCGTGTGGCCGACATGTGATGTGTTTGTTCCATAGGTTACTCCCTAATCTAAGACCCCCTTATTGCCTAAAATAAAACCAAACGAACGAGATTTTTATATAGCGAAATTCAACTTGTGGTTATTTGGGAACTTTGCGAATGCGAATGGGATTTGAATTGGAATTGGGGCGTGGCCTGGACGCGTGTTATCAGTGGTAGCCGGGGCGGAGGCCCGTCCGCAATTGGCGTAAACAAGCGTATAAATCCATAATGCCGTTTAACCTAACTTATCAACAGATCGACGCGATGAAAAACAAGCAAATAAAATGCCAGAAGAAGCCAAGAAACTTTATTAAACATTTTGTAGTCTTCTTTTCTTTTGGCTTGTTGGGTTGCCAAGGACTGATTGCCAACGCGTGGTGTGTTGTGTTCTTTGGGGTGCAAAGTGATAAGGCAGAAGAAGAAATAATGTCCGCTTTATTAGAACAAAAGACCTAAGAAGTCCAAAATCCATAACCCCAAAAGTAATTCCAATGAGAAGTTCAAATCGAATTTAGATCCCCTTAATGATGTTTTTCCTTTTGGAAAATTTTCCTGGTCGCCAGTACACAGATCCGGGTCTGATCTATATTTAGCTGAGCTCAGAGGCTCGTCTGCTGATAACCCGCCCGGCCATCCCACATCCCACATCGGTACCCAAACAGATCGCATATTGATTATGCATATATATTCAGCAGATCGATGATCGTCTATTGACGTAAATTCCAAATAAGCCCGAATCATCGAAATGTGCCAACCAACCAGGTATAGGGAGAGGTGAGAACAGGAGCGAAGCAGTTATAGTCTGAGGCCAAGTCCGAGTCTGAGTCCAGCAATTAGCGCCGATGATGAAGATTATCAGGCCGAACTAGAAAAACAAGTCCATAGTTTATAAATAAACCATCAAAAAATGCCAAGCAACGCGTGTAGACGAAAACGATTTAAATCGAAACTGGACTTGTCGTAAAGGGAATCCAAAAAGTGGGTGGGGGCAATGGCAGATGGTGGAGCCAAGGACCAAGGACCACTGGCTGACCAGGTTCCCTCGAAGGTCATTGGGTCTAGGCTAAGTGAGCGGTAAACGGAACCTGATTGGCAACGGTCTCAAGAAGCGAACCAAGGGGAAAATATTGTAAAAACTCCAAGTCCTAAAAACAGATTTGGCAAGCATAAACAAATTGTATTTTTAGAATTAAGATTCGTAAATATAAATGTTTGTAAAACCAAGAAGAGCACCTTTTTTTACTTGCAACTTTTCCGAATGAACTACCGCTTTTGGTGAATGTTTTTCTCTGAGTGGCGACCAGAGGATTCTGGTGCTTCTTGCTAACTGTATTGATGGTGGGGCAAAGTCACACCACCATTGGCACCTTCATTTCTCCTTCCCCAGAGACAAATACAGTAGAGGCCACATGACAGCCATTTGGGCTATGCTATTCTTGGAGCGCCACCAGAGTCACATGAATGCTGGCCTCCAAGGCGGCCATGGCCAATTGAGGAGGCCGGGACTCATCTGGTTGGCAAGGGGGGTTCGGATTAGCATACAAATTTTCCGTCACCGATTCGGCAAATAAGCGAAAGTTTTTTCGATTTGGCAAATGGCCAAAATGAGAGTGAGAGTGTATAGAAGACATGTGGCCGGTCGGTCGGTCAGCAGGCGTAGGAGGGCGCGTGTGGGCCTGCACTATTTCTATCTTAGGTTGCATCTCGTTGCAAGTGCAGCAGCTATATAGATGCATCCAGAACGTATACAGCTGCAGGGGGAAGACAACTGTCCATGAACTGGTTTCTATTTTCGTTCTATCACATAAAATCATAAACAGAATAATTAAATTAACAACGCGAAAGTGGCAAATACCAGGGTGTCGAAAATAACAACAAATGCTTATCAATGCAAACGCACTAGAAAACGTTTTTAATGCCACTCGAAAACAACAGTCTGCTGTTGCCATGTGGGGACATACCTACCCCATATATAAACATATATATATATATGCCTACATACTAGTATACCCCGGATTTCATAGCCCCCATAGCCCCATCGAGACTAGTGAAAAACCAAAACAATCGCCGAGCCTCCGCCGGCAGCCAATCAGCTTGTCCGGAGTTTGACCCTCTCGCTCGGTGATGCGATCGTAAACCCGATTCCGAGGCGATCGGCCCGACTTGTTCTAGTCGCCTCGATGGCGAGGCGTCGCCGGCTGGGTATATAAGGCCCCCGATCGTAGCAGTTGGCATCAGTTACTCGTGGACAGAGTAAATGGAAAGATCAAGTGAAAAGCCTACTTTCAGTGGTCTGAAAACCAAGTTGATCTTTGACAAAAAACTGTGGAAGAACATATGAACTTCAAGTCTTCGCCAGTCGAACAATACTTATTGTGATAATTACCCAATTGTGATAAGCAAAAGTGCCAAAAAAAACTAAACTCTTTTACGCTATCAAACGCGAAAAAATCCACAAAAATCTAACACAAATTATTCCAAAGTTTTCATTTTGAGAAAAACTCATAAACTAAACAACAAGCAAAATGCCTGAGCTCATTGAACAAAGCAAAATTATGTAAGTACTTAAAGAGGTCACTCGAAATGCATAAAATGGGGAAAGGGGATTTTAATGGCAATTAATATTTAATAAGCCAGAGCATTATTTGGGGCGCCACCATCGAAGCCACTTAATTAAATTGGAATTTTCATTTTGCAGCTCCGGCAATGTGTGCGGTCTGCCCCAGTTGCACAAGCTGCGCCAGGACAATTGCGGTCTGTACAGCCACATCCGTGGCATTCCCATCTCCTATGGAAATGTCGATTCACTGACCGCTGGCGTTCGCAGCTTTGTGGAGGAGGGTATCGCCATGTGCCAGCCCGACCAGGTGCACATCTGCGATGGCAGCGAGCAGGAGAATAAGATGCTCATCAAGAGCCTCCTCGAGGCTGGCACCATTGTGCCCCTGCCCAAGTACGAGAACTGCTGGTTGGCCCGCACCAATCCCGCGGATGTGGCCCGTGTCGAGTCGCGCACTTTCATCTGCACCGACCGCCGGGAGGAGACCATTCCCACTCCGGTTGAGGGAGTCAAGGGTGCCCTGGGCAATTGGATCTCGCCCAGCGATATGGATGCTGCTGTGAAGCAGCGTTTCCCCGGATGCATGAAGGGTCGCACCATGTACGTGGTGCCCTTCAGCATGGGACCAGTTGGATCCCCGCTATCCAAGATTGGAATTGAGCTCACTGACTCCGCTTATGTTGTAGCCTCCATGAGAATCATGACCCGCATGGGAGCCGCTGTCCTGCGCCAGCTGGCCAAGAAGGAGGAGTTCGTCCGCGCCCTGCACTCTGTGGGTGCCCCTGCTAACGGAAAGGTTGAGCAGCCTTCCTGGCCCTGCGATCCCGAGCGCACCATCATCCTGCACAAGCCTGCCGAGAATTTGATCGTGTCCTATGGATCCGGTTATGGAGGCAACTCGCTGCTGGGCAAGAAGTGCTTTGCCCTGAGAATTGGCAGCACCATTGCCAAGCGTGAGGGATGGCTGGCCGAGCACATGTTGATCCTGGGAATTACCGATCCCAAGGGAGAGAAGAAATACATCACCGCTGCCTTTCCCTCGGCCTGTGGCAAGACCAACTTGGCCATGTTGAACCCCTCATTGGCTGACTACAAGGTGGAGTGCGTGGGTGATGACATCGCCTGGATGAAGTTCGACTCGCAGGGAGTGCTGCGTGCCATCAACCCAGAGAATGGATTCTTTGGTGTGGCTCCTGGAACCTCAATGGAGACCAATCCCATTGCCATGAACACTGTGTTCAAGAACACCATCTTCACGAACGTGGCCTCCACTTCCGATGGCGGTGTCTTCTGGGAAGGCATGGAGAGCAGCCTGGCTCCCAATGTCCAGATCACCGACTGGCTGGGCAAGCCCTGGTCCAAGGATTCCGGCAAACCAGCTGCTCATCCCAACTCCCGCTTCTGCACCCCGGCTGCCCAGTGCCCGATCATCGATGGTGCCTGGGAGGATCCAGCTGGTGTGCCAATTTCCGCCATGCTCTTCGGAGGACGTCGTCCCGCTGGTGTGCCACTGATCTACGAGGCTAGGGATTGGACCCATGGAGTCTTCATTGGCGCTGCCATGAGGAGTGAAGCCACCGCCGCTGCCGAGCACAAGGGCAAGGTGATCATGCACGATCCCTTCGCAATGAGGCCCTTCTTTGGCTACAACTTCGGTGACTACGTCGCCCATTGGCTGAGCATGGAGAAGCGCGGCCAGGTGCCCAAGATCTTCCATGTCAACTGGTTCCGCAAGAGTGCCGAGGGCAAGTTCATGTGGCCCGGATACGGCGAGAACTCCCGTGTGCTCGAATGGATTCTGCGTCGGGTGAACGGCGAATCCTGTTATGTGGATTCGGCCATTGGACACATTCCTGCTGAGGGTGCCCTCAACTTGGCTGGCATGAAGGATAAGGTGGATGTGAAGGAAATCTTCTCGCTACCCAAGGACTTCTGGTCTCAGGAGGTCAAGGACATTCGCACCTACTTCGAGTCGCAGGTTGGAGCCGATCTGCCGGCCAGCATTTACAAGGAACTGGACGAACTTTCGGCCCGCATTGCCGGCCTTTAAAAAGGATCATCTAAGGCCAAACCGAACTTAAAAACATATATACCCGCCCCACATACCTATACCTGCTCAACATCCGTACTATCCCGTACTAACCCCACATACTCATCCAAGAAATGCTATCCCGTCGTATCCTATATCCCAATACCTTACTTGGTCGTTTCTCTAGTTTATAAGGCGAAGACTTCCAAACTATTTACTATTTATGTAAGCAGACTTAAGATTAGCAACTAAGGTGAACAAAGAAAAAACACATAAAAAAGAATAAAACAAGACGATTTTATAACCTATGAATTATTTGAGTATTTATTTAGCAGAATGAAACTTATTTCCAAGCTTAGGCAACTCTCCTTGTTGCTTAAGCCAACGAGCAAGCTTAGCTTAGTGCTGCTGTATAAATCAATTGTGGTGCCTTCAATGATGTACTGCATCCAACTATGGGGCTTGGCTTCGGACTCTAACGTCATGAAAGTACAAAGGATTCAAAACCGGGCGTTGCGCATGATTTCAAATGCGCCTTGGTACGTTAGAAACAAATCCCTAGAAGATGACCTCCACATTCCCTCTATTAGGGAACAGATAAACAGGCACTCAAGTCGGTACAATGATCGTCTCACAGCTCACACAAACTACTTAGCTTCTTCGTTGGTTAATGCAACTTTCAGAAGACATCTAAAGCAAAGGCATCTAGCCGATCTCTGGACAAGAGGACGCCAAATTTCTCTAGTCCTAAAGCAGTAATCTAGCATTAGCATTTAGCATTGATCTCTGGTTATCTAGTTATAAGAAAAAGAATCAAACTTGAGAGGTATACATACATAGGGCTAAAATATATATCTTTTTTTAGCTAAAAAATATATATAGGTAATATGTATATTGCAAAAAATATTTGCTTAAAAATTCACACAAATTCATTCGTTCTTTTTATTATTAGTGTTAAAATCATAAAAACGAAAACCAAATTAGAAAAATTGGAAAAACACAAACTTGTTTGGGAAGAATCATCATTTAAATCATGACTTTTATATTAAATGATAGCATTTAAAAAGTGTTAATTGAAAAGTGTGGCGTCTTTGTTTAGACCAACTCAATTTTTTGGTATTCAAAATAACAAAACACGTCTTTGACTTTGTGGAAGTTACAGAATGGAACCGCATTTAATTGATTAGAAATTATTTTTTAATATTTAAGTAAATAGTAATTTAAGCTTTAAATAATAAATAATATTTAACATATATTGCTATTAAATTATATAACATAAAACCGTTAAATGATTTCCCAATCAACTCCTGCACTGACAGAATAACAGCCATTGCATTTGTTAGCTTTCACCGGCTCCGTTTTCCAGCCGAATGGAAAGTCGTGAAAAGCTTAGCCAGCGAAGCTTTTCCAGCACTTCGGATAGACATGGGAATCGGGAGCTAGGAAAATGGCAACCGAGATTCGAGGGGAACCACAGTTCAGGTCGAGCAGCCGCTGCCGCAGCTTCGTCCGGGCGGAAGTTTGTAAGAGCAGCAGTTGCCAGCGGAAACGGAAGTGCAGAAAGGCCCGAACGGCTGGCCGTGCAAACTGTTGCTCGTCGGTGTGTTGGTGTTTTGTGTTTGTGTGTTGTGTGCGTCGGCATTGGTGTACCAGTATCGGTGTGCTGGTGTTGTGTTTGTGTTTAGTGGCATTGTTGGTGTTGGACAATTAGCAAAGTTGCTATAACAGACCGAATTATCCGACAAATTTGATGAAAATGGTAAACATTAAACTGTAATGCGGCACGCGGAGTAAAAGTGAGTTTAAGTCTGTCTCGGTGTATGTTTTTGTGTGTGACTGGGTGTGTGTGTGTGTGGGTGGCACTTTGTAAGCTGCGATTTGACATGTTGATTTATGCGCTGCTCTCACTTTGCCCCCAAACGGCAATTGCCACCCAAAAGCCCGCCTTCACCAACAGGGATTACTCGTGTCCTGTGTCTCTTTTAACACCACTTCGTCCTTTATATACATACATACATATATACACCCCCCCCTCACTCACTCTCTGTTCCTGCGGCACTTGTTGCGCGCTCACAGGACATTCGCTTAATTGCTAATCCTCGCGCCCAGACGCGTCTAATTACACGTAAGTTTGCACCATTTCTGTCTATCCAACGACATCACTTTGCCCACCCGCTGGCCGTTTAAAGTGCAAATTGGCAGCCGCTTTGGGGCACTGAATGATGAGGAATAGGAGTTGGGGGTAGTAGGGTAGTGGGGTAGTGGGGTCCGAAGGGTAGTTAGTTGAAAAACGGCCCGGAGGTCACTTAATATGCCATCAACATGAGATTTGCACAAATGGCCCCGGCCTCAAGAATTATGTGTTGCAATAAAATCGATGCGGGGGCGGCGCTTTGAGACTCAAGTGGCGGCTAATGACCAACTTGCGACGTGACTTTGGCCAGGATTTGTAATTTGCGAACTGACCAGCCCAGAACCAGTCTTCCATCTTCCCCTCTCTTCGTACATACATATATTCCTAGATCTTAAGTGTTTTATGGACTTTCCTTGTTTGTGTTGTACACACACTCAGTTTATTTTTACAGCAGAGACAAGGGGTGAAAGTGCTCCATTGGCTTGGCTGTTATGGTAGGCTAGTAGGTAGGGAGAGAGTAGGGATAGTAAGGGATCGGGATGGTGGGGTGGTGTTAACTATGCGTTTAACGGGTGCGGGCTTAATTACAAGCAAAGTTTACCAAAGGGTTGTCCGGCCAACTTCTTTATGACGCGGTAGAGGCCTGCAACTTAATGACGGTCCGTGCAGGCAGGGTCATTACTCTAGCCACCACGGATGGGGTATGATGTTGGTCGGGTACGGTGGCCATAAAGGCCAAAAAGGAAGAGCCGTGGACGGGAAAATGGAAAGCGAAATGCGGAAAAGGTGCCAGTGGTGGTGGTAGTGCCATTGCCAGTGCAGGCGAACCCGAAGCCATAAACCTGATTGAAGCCCTCGCCCACGCATTGCCATTTGTATATGCAAATGCAGCTTAACCCCAACCAAATTATCCACACATCCGTTCATGCCTTGCATAACTTATGGACACAGGACGCTTCTCGGTTTAAAGTCAATGAAATCCATCAATAATTCAATCTGCACCCAGGACGAAGGACTCACATTTCTCTTTATAATTCAGAAATCTGTAGCAATTATTATCTTACACAAGCTTACCTTTTCTCGGGTAGCCCAAGGACCCCAGGACCCTCGCCAAATACAATAAGCTGGCCGAAATCTCCCAAGGCCCCCCCTCTTTGGCCTTTATGCATACACAATTCCGCAATGAAAATACAAAAAAAAAAAAGAAAGGAAGACCGAACTACTGAGGATTTGAATGCGTCCAAAGAGAAACGACAGATATTCCTATTGATTTGTTGTCTGCAGATTTTTGCAAAGCCAAAAGCTGTTGGCCAGAGCGAGAAAGAGCCAGCCAGGTGAGCCCTGGACTCTGGGCCACTTTTCCATCAACATTTTGTTATCATCCTCGAACCATATCCCCCCAATCCATCCCCATTCGGTCCGTTTGGTTCGATTCGTTGCGGTGGCAACACGCCATTATATTACGTGAAATGCAAAATACAAAAAAAAAGTAAAGGAAAAAATGGGAAAAACTGGGAATACCGAGAAACGAAAAGGTAACGGAGGTAGAAGAGAAACAACAAGTTGCCAAACACTTGAATCAATCACTCGAATAATTGATGCCTTGTAAGTGGTATTTACCCAAAGATTGTCTCAAAGATTCGTGCGCTTAAATGAAAACTTTTAAACGAAGAACTTTCCAGTTCATGAATATGCAATGAAAGTTATTCAACTCAGTCTGCCCGAAAATTTAATAACTTTCGAAGGAAAATGTTATTCACAAATATTTATTTGCATATAATAAAATTAAGCTGGACAGACTTTCTGTGTTTTCTTTTCTTTTAAGCAAACAAAATAACCGAAATTCCTAAGAATTTAAGCTCGTCTAGCAAACTTTTGATGTTGAATTTTTCGTATCAAGTGCCTACACCTTGATATAAATACCTTGGTAATTTATGCAGATTCTTTGGCATTATATTTAGCTTAGCTTTGAGCATAATTTTCAATCTTAAGCTGATTATCGAGTTAACCCTCTTCTCATTTGTCATTTATATCTGTAAGGCATCCTGCCATGTACTTTTCAAGTCATTAAGGTTGCTTATTAGACCTTAATAAAGTTATTAACTTAAATATGAGCAATAATTGTTAACAATGATAATGAATGAATGATAAATACTTGTAGTAACTAGCAACTTATATAACAATTTACTTTGGGAATTCAGAAAGTTCACTTCAGTTAACCCTTTTCATAATGAAAACTTATTCTTAACTATCCAAACTCTGTATAACTCATACAAAATCCACCTAAAGTTCCCTTGACTATAGTCCAAACAAGTTACACTTCCCTGTCGAACCAGACCACAAAGGGCTCGCAACCAACAGGTAAACTACCAGGTATGCTGCGACCGTTATTCCGGACTATTTGCTTTGCCGTATGGGCACGTACTCACGCAATACGGATGTGTGTGGGTGCCACGGCTATTTGTACACACGATAGATAATAATGGCCCGCAGGTCGGACGTGAGCCAGCAGCAGTAGAAAGTGGAAATTCGAATGAGCCACGTGTGTCCACGGGGGAAAAGCCCAAGTGGGGCTAACAAGAGCAAAAACTGCAACATATGTACGATATGCAACGGCAATGAGATAGTGAAGTTGCTCATGTAAGTGCAACAATCGCCACTGGGGAGTGCAGCATCGTAAAACTAAAGTGCTGGCCAACTTAAACCCCATTTGCCATGCATGGAAAAGCACTTGCCGTCTGAATTAGAGCTACACAGAAATGGCCAACACTTGCTGTCTGTCGTCTTCTAACCAAGTCATAATCAAGTCCGATGGCGCCCAAATGTAGGCAACAGTTCGCGTACCAAAACGCCCACTGCGGCGATTCGTGGCCACCAAAGTTTAATAGCTGCAAGACCAACTCAATGCTGGCAAATCCCATTAGGAGAGAACTTTGTTACCAGGCCCAACACCAACATGAAGTTTCCCGCAAGCGGATTGTTTGCAACTTTTGCATAAGTTAGCAGCAGGCTGTGGGGTGTGTGAATGTGCTGACAGCTTGTGGGTGGGATCTGGGGATGCGGATGTGGAGCGATAATAGGGGCAGCCACTTACGCCACCGTCTCCATCCATCCGACCAAGCGTTGGAGAACGCACATTTAACAATAATTGCCAGGCCAAATAGAGCACTTCCCTTCCTCTGGTCTTCCTGCCCTCTGACCAAAGTCGGGAAATGACTTGCGGCCATAACATTTCACCGCCCTCTTTTGCGGTCGACTTTTGTGGCGAGTGGGCGCGGCAGGCTTTATATGATGACCGGCTCCTATTGCCCGCTTTTCATTATTTTGATTAAATACAGATAAAGCCATAAATTATGTTTACTTTGTGCCCATTTGGGCAATGCCCCGGACGGTACGGGACGCACTTTTCTCTGATGAGTAATGGCCCATGATATTTACACATGAGTTGGCCATCAGCGGGTCGTTCCCATCTCATCTAGTCATCTCATCATTCTGCTAAATGCACGGGAAGAAATTGATATATTTTTTAGTTAACAAGGAGAGGAAAGTATATCAACCAGACAAGAACACGAGCTTCTAGTAGATATTCTTTATTTCTTTTTCAAGATAGGATAAAATAAACTAATATATTATTATAAGGCCTCAGTTTAAAAACATTAACAATAGTTTAAGTTCTCTAAGTGCATGGTGAAATTTATCTTCCTCTGCACAGAAGTCCTGAAATGGCACAGCAACAGCGCAGTTGGGACGAAGGAGCCGTCGGAGGAGGTTCCTATGGCCATCCCCACTCCTCCCATCACAAAGTACCTGCACGAGCTGCCAGCAATCCTTTGCCCTGTAAAGGAGCCACTCCCAAAATGCCCAGGTAAGAGTAACAAGCATTCTCTAGAAAAAAAAGTTTTAGATTTAGAACCCCAAACAGGCAATACCATGGAGCTCCATCACCGGGTTATAGCTATGGTGGATATGAGACCCCACGGAGTCCCAAAATCACGACCACCTTTGCCCAGGATAGCTGCGATGATGCTAGTAGCTCCACCCCGAGCTCATATTATCAGACACCTCCTTCAGGATCAATAGATGATTCGGCCTCTTTGCTCAGTGGACGGACCACTGCTCGCAGTCCCAAGTCTCCGTGCCAGTTCGTCTTCGATGCAGTGAGTCCCAGCCACGGGCGGAAGTTTGAGTACTACGAACCCATCTCACCCGACGATGGAGCCCTGTATTACGATCCACCCAGTTCGCCACGACGTCAGGGCTCCAAGAAGTTGATGAGGACAAAGACACCGCTAGATCCGGTTCCTCAGTTAACGACAACCGGAGTGGATGAGAGTATGGCAGTGGCCATGGCCATGGGAGGCGGAGGATACAATCAAGGGGGACTTAACAAGCGGCAGCGGGATGAATGGGAACTGCCGGTCATCAGCAAGATCGAGGCAAGAAATCTCAGCGCAGCTGCATCCGCTGCAGGAGCAGGATCGGGTTCGGGTGGTGGAAACTATTACGGTTTAAAGCGTGATTCCTGCGTCACTGACTGCACACAGCTATCCATGGAATCCGGTGAGACGGGCACCCAGCATACCAACAGCACCATGGTGACCCACACCACCACCAGTTTTAGCTTTACGGAGCCGGAAATGGAGCAAGAACCTGGACAGCCGCAATCGCATCGCCAACGCCGCCATGCCATCAACATCACCTCCAATCCCGGCTACCAGGTGCTGCACAGCTCCCATTCCACCCTGGATCGTACCTGTTCCGATAGCGTTGTCTCACTGCGCTATCGCAAATCCACCAGTGACCTGACCCAAGATGCTGACCACGAGTTGAGTGGCTGCAAGCCCAACAAGCCGAAGCCCCATGTGGAACACAAACCCCGGCGCAGGGGCAGTTCCAAAGGCGGATTGGCCTACCTGGCCAGCCGTCGGAGTTCTCGGGAATCGATGAAGAGCGCCTGCTCCAATGCCTCCATTGTTTCGAATGACGATGTTGGACCTTTGGCCTTTCAGAGCTCCAATCGCGGTCGCCAGCGCAGAACTTCGAACTTTCTCGAGTTGCCAGGTGAGGGTGTTCTTGTTTTTCATATCTTTCGTTGATAAGGTATCTCCATAATTTAATCAATCAAAAGATAAGGAAGTGTGATAAAAAATATTAAATCTGGTTTGAGTATGTTATGGGTTACGATATGTTAACACAAATTTTAAACATTTACCTTTAATGGAGAAGGAATTTCAAATTTAACAACCTAAACTGGGACTTCCTTTTACCCATTTTAGTTCCTGACCATGTGCGTCCGCGTGTCTGCTCTCTGCCAGAGCGACCGTACAATCCGAGGGCCAGCGATGATCTATATCGGCTGCGTCACTTCTCCATCAGCAAAGGCAATGTCGTGAACTGTGGCGACTCGATAATATCGCGGAGATCACGGAGCAACACCAGCGTGAACTCAACGAATAGCAGGGCCAGTGAGCGGTCGCCCTTCGAGGGAAGCTGCTGTGGGGCGGGCTACGCCAATGTGGACTCCTTGCCAGCGACACCAGATGACTCGGAGAACTTGGATCCACCTCCGCCGGCCCGCTACCGCGTTGTGATGCTAGGCGATGCCGGAGTGGGCAAGACGGCGCTGGTCAATCAGTTCATGACGTCGGAGTACATGCATACCTACGATGCTAGCCTGGGTAAGTTGTATTCCAAACTCGGTCCCGGTCTCGGTCCCGTTACCCCGGGGATGATCCGCGGAGCGCAGTGAGTAGCCGAGTTACCCCTAGCTGGAACTATGTGTGTGCTTGACCCCTAGCTTCCCGGCTGCCACTGGCGTCTTTAGAGTTTAATTCTGATCTGAGTTTTAGACGACGAGTTCGGCGAGAAGACGGTGAGCGTGCTGCTGGATGATGAGGAATCGGACATGGTATTCATCGACCATCCCAGCGTAGAGATGAGCGTCGAGAACTCACTGTCCACCTATGAACCCCATGGCTGCGTCGTTGTCTTCTCTGTGGTGGATCGCAGCTCCTTTCGCGTGGCCGAGGAAATCATCAATTATCTGTGGCAGGAAAACTATACCAAGGACAAGGCCGTCATCCTGGTAGGAAACAAGGCGGATCTGGCCCGTGCCCGGCTTATCACCTCACAGGGTAAGTCTGTCCAGGGGTCTTAATTATGATGGCTTGATTTCATTTTCCCCTTCCCAATTCACTTTTGCTTCCCTAAAGAGGGCAAAGCCCTGGCCGCCTCACGCGATGCCAAATTTATTGAGACGTCCAGCGGCATACAGCACAACGTCGATGAGCTGCTCGTCGGCATATTGAAGCAGGTGAGTCAAAGGTGTTGGTGGTCAGATGGTTAGGCGGTCATGTGGCCAGAAGTGGTAGTCAGCGATGGTAAAGGTAGTAAGCTGGGGCTGCGGTTATTGGGGCAAGGTGCGAACCACACGCAACCCACCGATGCATGGCGAAATTGTGCAGGAAATGGAGTTAAATGGATTTGCCACGCTGCCGGGGAATGGGCTGTGTTTTCGGGTTGGGTTTCGCTCGGCCTGCTTCCGGATCGGCTCACTAATTAATGAAAATGGTGCGGTGAACGGGGCCAAAAGGAAACTTGGTCAACTAACCAGATTGGCTGAAGGGTATTATTATTAAGCTCGGAATGGGATATTTCCGGTTCTATTGGATTAGGCAGAACAATTACTAAAGAAAATATCAGATGAAATTCAGAGATTAGAAATATATTACGATTTCATAGACTATATTAAAATATTAAGCTTTGAAGTGCAAAATTTCGTTGAGAATTTTATAGAAATTAGTAAACATTTTTATAAAGATTATATCCTGGACTAATAAGATTTTTCTATCTTTAAACTCCTGTATGTAAAACTTAATTTTTAACCCATTTTATATATATTTTCACATTTTAACCCTCTGAACATAGATGCGCCTGAAAGAAAAGCGAGAGAAGAAGGCCACCGCCTCGAAAATGAAGACCTCTCGCACCCACATATCGCTGCACTTGGCCAAGGAGCTCCTGCAGAAGATTTGCCTCAGTGACATATCCAAGTCGAAGAGCTGCGAGAATCTGCATGTGCTATAAAGATATTCCACTGGCGAAACCCAATCACATATGCTGAGCCCACCCAGATGTCTTCTTCCTTTCCCGTTTCGCCGGCATTCCTGGGGTGAAATTATGCCACAAAACTGTATACAAAAGAGAAATTTTTATCAAAAGCGGCTGCCGGGCGGAATATTCCAAATGCCATTCAAATTGGACCGCAAGAGGCTGGCGGGGATGTGTTCATCTCCTTTGTTGTGCTCCGTTTATTAAAAGTTTAATGCCGGGTCTTGGATTTCGGCAAGTCATTGGCTGTGGTCAGGCCTCCAGATTCGGCGATACGCCTATCGTCGTGTTTATGGCGGATGTTTTTGGTTCGTCTTATCGCCACCAGACGCACCTCCAAGTGGATGGCGAAGGCCGGATTGATAAGAGCCGATCCAATAATCCAATGATCCGATGAACCAGCAACCCAGCAAGGCGTGTGCAACCTCCAAGCCCAAAACAGAAACCCGCTGAAGGGGGCGGGTCTCTCACAATACTACTTAAAACAGTATAAATATATTTATAGGTGTATATTTTAAATGCGTACTCGCATATACATATTATGTGTTCCATTGCGAATAACTTCAATTCCAATAATGTGCTGTCAATTGAACGCTACGAAACGCTTAAGAGGAGCAGCCCCCCAAAGGACGAGAGAAACTTTATAGATGTTGATTTATGTATACACATAGTGGCCATAAGCATCATATATATATACCATATATGTATACACGTGACCTATATCGGATAAGTTTATTGTCTAGGCTAGGGTTACTTAACGCTCCACCTGCTTCGCAAAATAATTCTTCCAATTGACGAAAATCTCATATCGGAATGACTGTTGAATGTTGACTGTTGTTAGTCTAAGCCAAGAACAAATACCATTTAATCAAAGTACTTCACTCATACGTTACTACGAGTATATAGATGTATTCTTACGTGTACCTATACTATATATATATACATATATTATATATTTAAAGACAACATATACATATATATATATACATGGAACTTCTAACACTTCTGAACTCATACGCTTATATTTGAAAAATACCTTTTACAAAATGCGAAAGGCAAGCAAAAACAAACGTAACTCTAACTATTTTCATACGCAAACTTACACATTAGATGGGGGATTTGGAATGGGTTTGAAGGCCTGTCCTGGCCTGGTCTAGGCTGCCATAGCCTGGCCGGGCAACATAACAGGCTCGTCCAAAAGTCGAGCACTCGACAGCTGTGCACTCATGTTTGCTCTACCCCCCTTCCTTCCGCCTCACATCATCCACCTCCACCGCTCTCCTTTCTGTCGAGTGCACTTTATCATTTTTAACATTTAGCAAACAAAACACAAACTTGCTCCGGCGAAAGTTTTAATTTGCAAAAACGCAGGGCCTGGCCTGGCTGGCGAATTCGAATATTTCCCAGCCGCATTCCTCAAATCTGTGGCAATCTGCATCGCGCATACGCCGTGTGTGTGTGTGTGTCAGCATCAGGGTCGCGGCTTTAATTTGATTTGCTAATCAAATCGCTGAGGATATTTGTACCGAAATCGAATCAGAGCCAGCTATAAACTCCCACCGAATTTATTGTGTAATGCTATTAAATAAACAATGTATTCTAAATGAGATTTTACTGCTACCATTTAGATCCAAAAGTTGGCTTAAAGCGTAGCTATAAAGATAACCAAACCAGACATATACCAGATATATATGTATGTAAAGATCGATGTATATTTATATTTTTCCAAGGCAAGCTGAGAGACAAAGCAAACTGCGACAGCGACTATACAACTGAAGGGAACCCCCGAAAACAAAGAAAACAATTTTGTGTTGCATAGTGTAATCCACAAATGTACGCTTTCGCCTGTCAACGAGATGAGGCAGCAGAAAAAAACAAATTAATTAGAGTACACGGAGATAAAATCCGATTTCTTGTTTGGTGTGTATAACTTTCCTCAGCCCCTCCCCTCCCCTTCCTGCCCTTAAGACTCTCTCTTTCGATCTCATCATCCGATAAATAAAGGACAAGGACGCTCTGTAACTAAGTTGTGTTTCTTTTCATTGGTGGGCGAGCAGGGGTGAGGGGGTGTCAGGGGGCTGCAACCGCACCACAGTCAATGCCAAGTCATGCGACTGGTACTGAAGTCCCAGCATCCTCAGATCTCAGCTGTTGCGCACTTGCGGTTCATTAGGGCGTAAAAGGGGGGAGTGGTAAATGTGTTAAGTGCCTGTTGTCAATCGCACCCAAAACTTGGCCGGATTTCACGCTCCTGCGGCAAGAAAAACACTCCCAACACAATATTAGTTTTTCGTAGAATCAATCGCCAGTTGTTGGGTTGCCCGTAATTAACTTACGCAGAAGTCGGGCGATGCTGTTGAAAAGTTGACAATCCGGCTCTGATTGATGGCCAGAATCATGGGATGGCATCTCTTTGCATGGCAACCTCTCTCGCTGCCTCAGATATATCTGGGAAACTTTGATGGCTTGCCGTTTGCCGCTGCTTGTCGACCCCGCCACCTGCTGCTTGGGGGTCTCATAATTTTAATGAGCTTATTTTATTATATTTAACGCACCAAGGAGCCGCCGCCCGAGATTATCCTGCAAATGGTTCCCTTTTGAACAGAGATTGTTTCTCTTTACCTTCGCCTTCATTCCTCGGCCGTCCCTGGAGCCGGAGCCCGGACTCAAATCAAACTAATTCCAAGTTCAATAAACAAGCCTAAATGAATATCCCCGGCCCGGGAGCTGCCATTCCTTAATCAGCACCAACCTCCCGGGCAGTGTAAATTCTTATGAAAATAAGCAACGTTGGCATTGGGTAGCGGAAGTCATTGAGGGATCCAAGGATAGCCCATGACCCTGCTCCTCCTGCACCTCCTGCCATTTCACCTCCGCCAATCGGAGTAGCAGTCGCAGTCGTAATCATAATCAAGTCGCTGGAGAGTCGACAAAAATCGATTAAAAGCTTAAGCATTATCCCGCTTAATCTGGGATATTCCGTGGAGCTTAATGCCAGGCACACAATTAAAGCGAGGGGTGGATATTAAGTTAATTATACGTGGGCATGGCTATTGGTTATGCATTTAATCCCAACTGGCCAGCTCGATTGTCATCCGGTTTCCGGCTGCGATTCACTCTTGAAATTTCCCATCGATTTTATAGCATATGGGATAACGACACTCTGCTTTCATCCTTTTACCTTTCCAAACGGATTACCTCTTCTTTCTCATAGAATGGGTATGGCAATAGCTTAAGAGCTAGCTGGAAAAAGGGATCATAAAGGATGCCAAAGTACACACAATTTTTTAGGGCCAAAAGCTGTTGGCCAACTCTGTGTGTGTGGCTAGTACCAAGCAATATAAAAAAAAACCCGGCCACTCAGACGCACAAACAAACAAACAAACAAACACTCAGGTATTCTCGCATGGCAGATGAAGAAATATTCGCGCCGGCAGCCGTCACTCTCGGGGGATTCATAACCAAATAAGCCGAATTTTTAAAGCATACTTTCCAGCTACTGCTCCGCTCCATCACCATCTGGCAGATCCTTGGCTGCGATTCCCGCAGCGGCGACGAAACTGACATTTACGAAATGAAACTTTAAGCAGTGTGGAAAATGAAATTTAAATAACGATTTATTGCCTTTGAAGTATGATTATTTGTACGGCGGGACGAGGAGCTAGGTAAACATTGAAGGAAATGGCCATGCAGACTTTTGGAATACCCTTGCTTGGGCAGGGGCTGTTGGTGAGAGGCTGGTTTCTCTTTCAAAGAAGTCTTAAGGTGTTAGGTATAATATTACTTTCTAGTTGGAATTACTAATTTAATTCGAGATTGTTTATTTCTGAATTTAGCAGATGGCTAAAAGAAACTTCCTTCTTAATTTTTTAACATAAATATGACTGTTTAAAATCTTTAAAAAACGTGGCTTACATAGTAGTCAAACCTTTTATCAATTTGTTATAATCCTTTAAGCTCAGATTTGTGTCAAAATAACTTTTCGCAACCAGCTTAAAACTTATTTATTGGTTAAGGTTGATAGTTGGGAAATTAATGCCCTTATATATTTTAAATAAATTCCTGAATTTTTAAATAATAATATATAAATAAGTAAATATCTAGTGGTTTAGCCAATCGTTAGCTAAAATAGTAAAGAAACGTATTACCTGTTAGTGGCATACGAGGATGTGAGTGGCCGTGTGCCACTACCCACCGGATCCTTTACGTCCGTCGAGTGTGCTGTCCCATAAGCGTAATGAAGAGCCGGGCATCTGGAATGGATTGAACGGATAGAGGTCGTCGGCAGGGACCCACCTGTTCCGCCTGTTCACAAACACATATACGACTATATAGTACACCTGTCCGCCCGTGTGTGCTGGGTTATCAGGATCAAATGCCGGCGGCAGCCGACGAGGGCGGACTTTTCCCTTTTTTCCCAAGCTCTCCGGCTGCTCCGGCTGTTCTGGGGTGCTCCTGCTGTCGCTGTCAATTCATCGCATTGGCATGAAATTGCTTTTTGCGATAGCTGAGAGGCAACAGCAACAAGTTGCGCCTATACTATGCTGCCATACTATATATAGGATGTCTACACTGAGGGGCTTACAAAGGAAATGAGAAAAGGTTCACCCGGGTTGTTTGCCCGCCTGTTGATGTTTGTGGGCCTGTGCCTGTGCCTGGGCCTGAGATATACTTGCAAATTTGCGCGGCGCAGGAAACAGGAAGTTGTCGGGGGGTTTTGGGCATTGTTTATTCTTTGGCAGCAGGCGGGAGGCCGCAAAAAGTCACCGGGAACCCTAACGATACGAAAATGCGTAAAGAGCTGCGATAAAGGGGGCGGGCGAAACAGAGAGTGGGTGTGCCACTCGCGGCATGTAAATTACAAGCGGAATTTCGATTGTAGCCCACGACACCCCAAAAAGACGATGGGTAGGGCGGGTTGGAGGTGGTTTGAATGGAATTAAATGCGAAATGCGAAAGGACCACGACAAAATAATCTCTCAAATGTAAGAAAATTGGCGGCGGGGGGCCGTTCTCTCCTGCTGCAGCTAAATGCCAAAATGGCAATTTGCCAAAGTTTTTCCCCAGAAGCGAGCAGACACGAAGACAGTGGCCAGAGACCTCAGATGGGGTGCCAGAACAGCAGGGTCAAGGGATCAGGGGGGAACGAGGTTTTTGAGGGGTCCCATAAAAGTCATAGCTTGTCTGTTACACTCCCTATCTTGTGGTGCACTTGAAAATATAGCTTTATTTCTGAGCCAAGTTGAATATGAACAGGCTCCTTTATGTGTTAATTACTTTTTGTAATCAATCATAGTGTCCCGTCTGTGCGAGGTGAATTTACTATATGAACTTATACTTTGTATTATATTAACTAACTTCCCAGTTCCTTAAACTTGTAAAACATCACAAAATAAGAGTAGAAAGTCTTAGACCTCTATCGGTTCTATTATATTGATTGTCCTGTTTGGGTACACAACTTTTAGACAAATTCATTCATAAGCAACAAAAAGGAGGGAACATATTTGAATACCTAAACGTGAATCTACATTTTTTTAAGTGCATGGACTAGCCCATGTCAGCTCGTTGTGTTAGATACTCAGGCTCAACTGCTCAGCATCCTGGCACTTGTTGAGCGTTTTGCAAACGAACAGCAACAAGAACGTGTCAAAGAAATTGAAATTCTGTGTGTGAGTTTGTGTTTTTCTTATTCCAGCCAGAGGTGAGCAGGTGAGCTCTTTTACCAGCAATGTCAGTGGCATAGCAAAAAAAAAAAAAAAGGAGAAAGAAAACAGTGAAGGCGACCTTTACGCCAGTGGGGTTATAACATAATGCAGTCAGCTCACGATTGGTAAAATGCTCGGGGCGAAAGGGAAACCGCTGCTTCCTTGGCCCTGGAAAACTCAACTGGGAACCGATTGAATGACTACCTTTGTCTGCTGAATAGAGTTGCGCTCTGGCCTAGACTTTTGACCTTGCCCCCTCGTGAAATGAGCTGTGAACCCAGCTTGGCTGGCCTCTGCTGGCTCCTGCTGCATCCTGTAGATCCCAGTTCCTTCCTGCGCCATCAAATGCATGCATCTGTCAAGGCCATTCAGTTGGTTCCTTCGGGCAATTTAACCGCATGGTCCTTGTTACCTTGGGACCTTTGAATTCCTGCTAGTTCTGTATTTTACCAAAAACCATATGCGTTTTGTTAAGTTAAGACTGTTTGCATGGGAGTGGCTGCGAAACGAAGGACGAGTAATTGTCAGCTGGTCATTTTGGCCCATGAATTATGCAATGGCGAATTTACGTGGATTTTATTTGGGTCGTTATGGAGGCGGACGTACACTGTTGACACTGCTGATATGTGTGGACTGGTTGGGGATTTGCATTTAATTTTCCAGCAGATTACGCTGATGGCCGCCGATGGCAACCAGCCTGATTTTTATCATTGTTCATTGGCGAATCCTTCCGAGAATTGGGCAACGTTTGCATAATCACGAAAAAAGCAGCTGCACGACTGGCTATTTTCACCCGAAAATATTCAAAACTCTATAAGTGGATTATGTCATGGATCTTGTCCGGCATTCGGTCATCGCATTCAAAAATATAAATTGTGTTTTATCATAATTATCAGGCGAGTGGTTGTCAATCAGACCATTAAACAGGTGATTGGATTAGCATTCAAATGAGTTCAAATTATTATAATTATCTGATGTCATTTGCATTTCTAAAGAATAAAAGGGGGAGGCTTTAAAGTTCATGGGAAGTGTATGTAAAAGTCAAATTGAGAAGATTTTATTATTTTAAACTGGTAAGTACTTACTTTAAGACTATCAAAATCATTTTTTGTAGATAACTAGGTATGAGTTAGGCTTTTGATCAATATTAATACCATGCAAAGAGGCAAAGATACTTTTATCTGATTTTACCCCTAACGAAATGCCATATCTACCCATATGTGGCTTTATTTTCCAACAACCTAAATATCTTCCAGAATACCTTCTTTATGTTTGTTACCAAAATTTTGCAGTATAAATAATTTAAATATACCTTTTATATTAAACTAAACATTTTGTATTGAATTTTCACAAGTAAATAAAATAATATTTATAGTTGCATACTTTTGGGGGGTTCGTAGAATAACAGATAAGCTTCCTATACAAATAAATTGTTATACAAAAATATTGTTCTACTTATCTAAGTTTCATTTCAATTTCTATCTAAAGCTGACTGCGGTAAAAATGTTAAGCAACAAATTTGTGAACTGTCAAAAGCTGACTGGTGCAGAACCAACAAGGTAAATCAAGATATTTTGAATGCCTACTTTTGGGAGCTTTTCAATATTAAAGACACTTCAAAGGTAACTTCAAAGATAAATTTAAAATTCTAGTTTTTTTAATTTTTTAACCTTTTTATACATGGCTTCCTTAACAAAACAAATGAATATAAATATTAATTTAAAGATTTTTCTGTACATTTTCAAAGTGATTACGAACTTTATTAAATGACTCTGCGGTTATGCAACTAAGCACTAAATATAAAACAGTCGACTAACGGTATCTAAGATTAGCATTGCATACAAAGTGTGTATAAAACACTTATAACTATGTACATGTAGAAATTACAAAGGAATTGTTTTATGGCAATGGGTCGTTTACAACGGCTCGTCTTCGGATCATCAAGATCCTACTTGTTGAAGTTTTCGATCTGCTGAAGGACCCAACTCCGGGAGGCCGACTGGCAGACAATGACGCCCGCTCTCTGCTGGATGATCTGTTCCTTGGAGGGCTTGGGGGCAATGTGTGGTGGGTGATGAGGACGAGGTCCAACGGGTGGCGGCGCTGGAGGTGGACTGGTTGGTCGGCGCAAATGGACATCGTAATCTCCGGAACGCTTTTCGTTGTCATCACTGTAAATGGCCGAGTCTCGGAAGTCATTCTCTAGGCTATCCTCTACTTGCTGCTCATACTCGAAGGTGGCTGACGGAGGATCAACTCCGGATTTCTTGCGCTGCTGCTCGCACATACTGTCGCTGGAGGAGGAGGTCAGCGAGAAGACCGAATCCCGTTCTGAGTGATTCAGGACCCCCATTCCGAATAAAGTCTTTGGATCGGCGTAGTCCACGTGGGCCATCCGCTCACCCACCGCCTCGCTGCCCTGGCGATGCAAAACGCTCTGGCGGCACATCTCACTCACATCGGAAACCCTGCGCTCCGGCGGTCGATTGGAGCGTCCGAAGGCCATGGTCAGGTTGTCGATGGACTTAAGGGCTCTCGGCAGCAGTGAACTCTCCGATCCCGAAACCGAGTTCTTTGGCAAGGGACGAGATGAGTGTTCTTGGACAGCCTCCATCGATAGATTGATCACCGTGCTCTGGCTGTCCCTTTTCAGTGTCGATCCCGATCCATTTGAGGAAGTTGAGGTGGAAGAGGAACTGCAGCTGTCCCTTTGCACTGCCTCCTCGCCCACACGTTGTAGGACTCCATCGGGTGAGTAAACCAGGGTCACATAGTCCGATTCCGGCCGTGGAGCTGCTGGTGCAGCCTTGGATCGCTTTTTTAGCATCTGCGAGGATTTCGCGCGTCCCAGCACAGGTGAAAACTTATAAGGCACATGGACATTGCGCAGCAGGGTCTCGTAGATGGGTTCCTCACCCACTGAGTCGACTTCTTCGATCCGTTTCTTCTGCTTTTCCTCTACTTCCAAGGGTGGTGGAGATCTGGATGGTGGGCGTGGTGGCGGCAGAATGGGACCACAGATGATGTCAGGACTCACTGGACTTACTGGACTTTCTCGCCTCTTCTGCTGCTTGTTATAAATCCTCTCAAATTCCTTGTTGTTCTTTAGTAAATCCAAAACGATCTGAGCATCCCTTTTGGACTTTTCCGCTGGAGACAGAAGTTCCGCCTCCTGCTCCTGGTTGTAATACTGATCCTGCGAGGACTCATCTAGGGTTGCAGCCTCCTGGGCCAATTCGACTTCCCCATCCGGTCGCAACTCCTCTGTGGATTCGGTTATCTTGAGCACAGTGCTACTGCTATCGAATTCGCTGAGATCCATGTAGAATCTGGAGCAGCTCTTGGTGTTGCTTCCTCGCTGCTTCTTCAAAGTGGCTATCTTCTTGGGCATCGTCTTGTGGTTGTATTGCTTGACCTCAAAGAAGCCCTTTCCCTTGGTCTTGCGCTCGCTGAGATCGGGTTTACTTCCTCTCAAGGAGGCAGCACTGTCCTCGTCCTGTTCTCGCTCCCTTTCCGCCTCTTCATCCAAACTAAAGCCTCCGATCCGGGGCACGGACTTGCTGCGCTCTTTGAGAGCCTTGTAGCTGAAGACAGGCGAATGCGACTTGGAACTGCGACTACGCTGATCACGCAAAATACACGAACACGTATCCTGCTGATCCTCCTGCTTTGATTCCTGTCCGCATTTACAGGAGTCCTTCACCGGAGTCTTGGTGTCCTCCTTAGCCCCGGCATCTCTCTTGCGGTATCTCATCGCCGCAGCAAACTTCTGTAGAGCAGTATCGTCGAGGCTATTATTCCTGGACAGAGGCTTCGATGGCTTAGCCTGGCTGACCGCTTCCTCCTCCTGCTCTAGCGACTCATTGAAGCTATCAAAGGAACTAGAGTTGGTCACCGTCTTCCGCTTGAACTTGGAGTTCCGCTGGCGTATCTCACTCCTCCGACAGGCATTCCTTCGCTCCAGGTACGTGGGAGTGGAATTACTTCCCGAATGGAGACTCCACTTCCAAGTGCTGCGATCTGGCGTACGATCTGCGTTTAGGGATAAACCATTAGTCAAGCTCTGATTTTGTGGCTTAGGGACAATGATAAGCGGTGGGGTGAGTGGCACGAGGATGTGAGCGAAAAACAAACACCAGTGAGAATGCATTCTAAGGTCTACGGTCAACAGCGGATCATGCAGTCGTTAGGATTGATTGTTTTTGGTTATTGCTGGTTAGTTAGTAGCGTTCTCAGTACGAGTATGGGATTAGGGTTAGGATGCATGCAGAACACAGACCCCGTTCAAGTTAAAAGGCCAATTAAAGCTAGCAATCCAAATACGTTTCTCGCAATACTTACTAGGCTCATCGGACACCAGAGTTACTTTTAGCGAACACTACGATTACGATTAGCTTGTTTAACAATTAGATGTACCGGGGTTACAGTAGCCCTTATTATCTGTCTGATCGGATTTCTTATTTTTTTTTTTTTTTTTTTTTTGGTAGGTAATTAGATCGGTTTCAGTCTCTGGGTGTGGGGATTCTAGCCTTAGAACGCCTTAAACACTAATCAAAGTTTTTTCGTTTCTTTGTTTTGGGGTGTTTAGTTTTAGAATGCATCACTGGTAGTACTACAACGGTAAACATATAGCATTTCGTAGAGTAGAGTTAGATCAAATTGAATTAGTACTAGAGTAGGACACCAACTAAGCACACGGTAAGGGTACAGAGAGATAGAGTGGCCCAAAAACCCCTAACGATCCGGGAAAGTGGATGCCCGAGGTCCGCAATTAAAATGCGCCTACATCTGGCCCAAGTAATAAATCAAACAGCCGCCGAGGCGTCGACAGATTTGGCACGATTTTGGCGAAAGGCTAGCGACTAGCGACTTGCCACTTGGTTATGTCACTTGGTCGCAGCTGGAGCGTGCGAATCATAAGTGCACCGCGCAAAAGAGTGGGTCGAGTCAGGTCCTCCATGTGGTCGGGATTTAAGGAGAGCCATCAACGAGGCACAGAGAAAAACTGTATACTACTTTATCTATTAATTCTTTATATCAAGATTACCATATCCAAAGGCCAAACAAGCAATATTGTAAAGGATTAACTTTAGAACGAGGGAACTAAGTTAGTGTAAAAAGGATGTTTGTAATAGGAATATATATCCTAAGTATAATAATACTTCTTAATCAATTAAAAGCAAAATAATTAAGGTTAGTTTTAAGTTGTATTATTAAGCAACTGATTTTACTGCAGTTTTTCCTGTGTGGCTCTCCGTCTCCCAGGCCGACAGGCATTACCCAACTATAACAAGTACCCGCATGTGCATAACCGCAGGCACTTCATCATCTCGTGCAGTCCCCAATCCAAATCGTTAAGTGTTTTTGGCCACATGACAAAAAACACAACAAAAAACGGTGGGGAGGGGGGTAGATAAACGAAAAGTAAAACAAAAACTAAAAAACAAAAAGAGCAAGAGCCCTAGAGCCAAGCCGCGGCTAAGCCAAGTTAACCAAACTAACCAAGTCTGAAGCACTCACCTTCCTCGTTGCCCAGCTGATAGACCAGCTCCTTGGCGCGCATCGGAATGTCTAGCTTCTCCAGCATGACACCTTTGATGTGCTGCGTCCAGATGCGCTTCTGGTCACGATTCCGGGCCGTCAGTTTGATTTGGTGGCGCGGCTCGTCGAAGGGGATGACATAGAAGCTGGTCGGCTCCCCGGGCAAGTGTTCGCTCAACATCAGATTGTTTTGCTGGAAGATCGTAGCATTAGGAAGATAACTCATATGGATCGGTAAATCTTACAAACTCACCGAAATGTAGGTCTTAAACTGCAGGCGTCCGTCCTCCTTTTGCTTGGTGATGATCAGCATGGTGGCGAAGAGGAGGACCAGACGCTGTTTGTTGTGCTGCTCCATCAGCAGGCCCTCTTGACGCAGTTCACCCAGAACAGTGAGCTCTGAAAGGGGAGAAAAGATAACAGGTTACTACTCAAGCGTTCAGGAAGAGAGCTAACTGTATTCCCACTCACCTGGTCCCAGCCAGCCGTCCAGAATACCGGACAGCTCCTTGACGCGACTCTGCTGCTCCTGCTTGCGTTTCACCTGGTCAATGTTGTGCGCCACCTGGCGCATGATCACATGGGCCTCGGCCACCTCCTTCACATCGCAGTGCTTGCGCAGGCTCTGATTGAAAGGAAAGAAAGAAAAACCTACAGTTAAGGACAGCCACTTGGATCACCCACTTTCCCCACTCACATCAAGAAGCAGATGGTACTTGAGGATCCGCTGCACTGGCTTCAGGAGATAGGAACCCAGGGGCAGGCGGTGTTGGAGGAGCTTCTGCGTGGAGGCGAGCAAAGAGTACGTGTGCGTGGCCTGCAGCAACTTGGTCAGCAGCGAGATGGCTTCCGGGTAGCTTGTGCTGCGGGGGAAACGAAATTTATGACATGTACTTTAGGTCTTCATCATGGTCGGCATTAAATCTGAATTTCAAATCAGTCTCTGGGAGCAATGCATTTTGGGCAGTGGGAGGCACGATGATGTATGCGGCGTGTCATTGGGGGCGACAAATCAAACCGCTGCCATCGCATCCCGATCCCGAAACCCACTCTCCAAAACTGGCATCGCGGCCAGGTAAACGTCAGCGTTTAAATGGAACATGGCGTGCCTGGATTGCCAAGAGACGCCATCGCCATCGCCATCGCCATCGCTGGCGTTTCGTTTCGTTTCGTGTCATGCTGCTAGCTAACTGCCTATCGAGATCGTTTTGGCCGTCGTTACCGTTCTTGGCAAAAAGCTGAGACCACAAAAAGCAGTATCGATGATGGAGCGAACACGCCAAGCGAAGGATGGATGTTTCCCAAAGAATCATCGAACCAGGTCAGGAATGAACCCACATCAGCGGGATTATTACTTTTGATATATAACAATGGCTTACTGCGGACAAGGGTCAGTATTTATAGTGTTTACTTTGGTAGCTGATTAAAATTGGTCAAACCCCTAACTAAATTTAGATCTAATGAACCAACGGTTAAGGTTAAACCTTCTTTCTTCGGAAATCATCAATAAAGGCAGTCATTATCCAAAGTTATCAAACTCGTATTATCTTTATGGTAAAGTAGTGATAAGAAAAGAATGATTCGGCGGTCTAAAAAAGTGGGACTTCCCTAAACACTCAGTTTAGTCAGCGTTATAGTGAGTCAGCTGTCTAACAATATACGCAACCCTCCACTCACCAGTAGGTTGTGTACACATCAAAGCCGTCGCGCAGGTCAATGAAGCACCTGGCGATCCTCCCGGGATCCCTTCCCGTGTTGATAAGCCGCTGCAGGAGCATCGAGTTGAATTCGTAAATCTCTTCAATGTTGGCGAAGAGTATTTGCAATTCGTCCACGCGCAGGCAGGCTCGCTCCTTCCAGTCAAGCAGGTACCTTCAAATATATACATTGTAGATCCTTGAAGGACATAGTTAAGCTGCAGGACTACTCACCCCTTGATCACCTGACCCAGATCCTCGACGAAGCTTCGCTCCGAGTCCACGATCTCCAGGCAGGTTTTCTCAAGGACACTCATGGCAGGTGGATGATGTTGATCGCCCAGCTCATTCTCACTCTCCGCCAGACTTTCCACACTGGCCAAGTAGGAAGTGGCCGTTAGCTTGCCGTTGAGCAGTTGATCCGATCCGGAACTGGAACTGGAGGAGGTGGAGCAAATGGAGGAAGAGGACAGAGGGCGGTTGTTCAGCCTGGCCAGCTCACTCAGTCGAGCTGCAAACTTGGGCTTGATATCCGTCAGCCTGTCCAGACTCTCCGCCGATAGCTTGTTGGCCTCCTCCAACTCGGCCAGCTGCTCGGCAGTGGGTAACTTAAGTGGCACTCCGCCACCCAAAGTGCTGGACTTGGCGCCCAAACTCTTGGTGCGGGCATAGGTCAGCAAAGGTGAACTGCAGATGGTAGAGGCACAGGCGGCGGAGGAGCTTCTGACCAGAGGCTTGCTTACCAGGGTTTTGTTGACCGCCTCTATGATCTCCGCCCTCGGATCTAGTCCTCCTGGATCTGCCATGGTTAATCTTTCCATGTGCTGTGTGACCAAGTCGAAGTTAATGGTATCCACTATATCCACAGGACTCAGGGGCTCACTGCACACAAACTCCTTCGGTTTGGGTGTATTGGGAGTTGTCGTGGCCGGAGTTCCAGGCGTGGCGGGCTGCGCGTGCTGCAGTTGGGCACTGGTGGCCGCCAGCTGCTCCATTTCAATGAGCTTGATGCTCTGCTGGGAGTCGTACCTGGGCAGGGTTAGTTTCCGCCCTTGAAACGGATGCCCATCGAAGTGGAAGGGAGTTCCTGGCGTGTATTTGTTTGTCGGTGTTCGATCCTCGTCCAGGGATTTCGTTTTCTCGAAGGCGGCAAAGGCCACCGAGTTCAGATACTCGTTGCTGGAATCGAAGGTGGACACCAGCTCGCTGCCAGATTGGGTGGACAACTTGCCGGTGATCTTGGACAGCGGTATGTGCGAGAGTTTGTGTTTGGGCGTGGAACCAGCCACAGGAGCTGTCCCACTATTACCGGTCTTTATATACCTTCCGTGAGTGGGACTCCTTTGGGATTGCTGCTGGTGCTGCTTCAAAGCCTCCGCGGACACCGCTTCCACGGGTTGGATATCCGAGTGCGTAATGATCCTATGGACATTTGGTGAAAGGATGCGGATATTGCTGCCTCGTCGACTGCTGCCACTCGAGGCGAGGCTGCTGCTACTGCCGTGTATCTGCGACTCCTGACTCCTCCGCTGCACTACCAAGCGGCTTAACTGAGCGCCATCCGGTTCGTCCCGCAGGCCAGCAACCACCAACGGAGCAGGTGGCTCCTGATGTCCCAAATGTGTGCTGGAACTGGCTAGCGTGTAGCTGGCGGACTGGTCATCGCTGGTGGGGACACTCGAGCAGCTGCCACTCGATGAGGAAGTACTACTGCTGCTGCAGTTGCTGTTGCTCCTTTTGGGCGTCGAGTCGCCGCTGCTGGAAGCCTTCAATTCGTGAGATGTCGCAGTGGGTGCCGCTGCCACGCCCCCCGTGGCCAGGCTATTCGTCAATGTGTCGTAGATGCCCAACAACGAGGGTGCCAACTCTGTGGTGCTGCCTGTAAAATGGAAATAAGATAAAGTTTATTAATAAAGAAAATGTTAAAAATAAATAAAAATTATTATTAAATTATTTAATAAAATAATTATTACAAAAACGTGTTGAGATCAAGTTCTGAACGTAATTTCTATATAAAAAGAAATAACAAAGTGATGACTAATTTGGGTGATCAGTCTCCCCTTGTTCTTGGCCTCGTAAAGCGCGTGGCTAGTGGGCGGTGTCTAATGCCCCCCACCCCAACCCATTTGCGGGACCCAACCCAATCGATCCGAAGCGATCGAGGTGCTGCAATGTTGATGGGCCTGTGAGGCACACACATGCTCGTAATCCCCCGATATTTGCCATAATTTTGTTGCATAAAATGATTTATGCCGGGCCAAACAACGGACGGTATGGCAAGGCATAGCCACGGCGATGGCGATGGCGATGGCGATGGCTGATGTATTGAGTTGTTTAGCCGCAGGATGCATGGCCAACGAGCCCAAGTCAGAACGTGGCCATCAGTCAGAGTGTGTGCATTCTGGCTTGGAATCGAAGTTGCACTTGGAGTTGGAGTTGGAGTTGAAATTTTGACTTGGACCTAGAGTTACTTGGCCTGGTCTGCTGCATAAATAAGTAGGTTGCTGCTGTTCGCCTGCCTGGCGGCCTGACATGTGAATTGATATGCCAACGCAACATGGCTAAAACCGCAAGGCAACTAGGAACCAGCAAGCAAGGCAACTGCCGACTGGCAACTGGCAACTGGCAACCAGCAAGCAGGCAACAAGGCAAACAGGCAACATGAGGCAGCAACATGGCAGAACAACGACCCGAGTCAACGGCAATTGGCATGAACATTCCATGGCTCGCTCATCATTTCTCACAAACGGTTCAATTAATCAAAAGCGCTCACAACTGCGGATTTAATAACATTATCGACAGGGGGACTTGATCTATAAATTACAGATCGCGTCAGTCAACAGTCAATGGTCCATGCCAGGCACTTTTAATGATGGCCTGCAAATTGCATTTCCAGTCGGTAACTTATTGTGGGTTCTAAAAATATAAATAAAATACTAGAGGTAAAGATTTCTGCATCTCCAACTGCAACTGTGAGTGTGAATGGCCAACTTCATTAAGGCCACTGTTTATGTGATTATCTCTTAGCACATTTGGCTAACAACCCAACAGGCAACAGGCTAACAGCCTAACAGCCTAACAGCCCAACATCCTAACAGCCCATACATCTCACTTCCCGTCTGAAGAGAGGCTGAGCAAATCAGGCAATTAACTTTTTAAGACAAAACTACGGCCCACGTTGCGGCTACCGATTTTTCAGCTATTTAGATTTTTTCCAGGCATTAGCATCATCCTCAACCGCATCCACATCCACATCCACATACTATCCAGTAGCCGATGGGGCACTTTTCTCCTAATTGCGAATGGTGTCAATGTGGCCTGAGTTTGGTTTGGTTTTTTGTTGTTTCTTTGCCTGGTGGTTGGGCAACATTTTGCCAAGCCACGAACAACAATTAGTTGGCATGAGTAGTGCCACGCCCACTGTCAGACCGCCGCTGTGCCGGCTGTCTTTTCGGGCAGACTGACGACAAGTCGTAAACATGATTTGTACATTTAATTTTCCATCATTCTATTTGATTATTTTGCGTGGGCCGAAAAACGCAGACATTGCAGATATTCGCCCATCCAGCCAGCGTCCAATAGATAGTTGCTAAGTCGGATGCAGCCCGCTTGGGTACCCATATATACCAGCAGCCATCATCCTGCAGGCTGACCCAGTTAGACACGACGGAGCGTTTTGCTTAATTGCCAAACCGTGGGCTGCGTCGACAGGTTCTCCAATGGGTTTTCAACACACAGAAAGAAAAATAATTAAAAAAGCTTTACTGTCTGATAAATTTGCATAACTTTTTAAGATCCTTAAACTTATATATTGTAATGTTTTTAATATCAAGACAAAAACAAAGATAAAGATGTTTGAAAGACTCCAAGATCAAGAAAGTTAACACATTTTGCTAAACACAAACTGTGTCCTCATTTCTGACAAAGTAAACTAGCTTACTTGCGTAATAAAGTATATATCTCAACCCAACCTCACCTTGATCGCAACTTCAAAGATAATCTTTCTTAATCAAAAGATCTTCAAATATGTAAATATTTTTAGCAGTGCAGAAAATAGCCTCTAATCATTGCCACTTGCCGGCAAGCATTTAATTAAAAGCCAACAGCTGTGGCCATTCCAAACTATTTATGGCATAATTCCGCCAAGACCTGGGAAAAATGTTGACCAGGCCGGGCTAATCTGAAATCTGGAATCTGGACGGCGATCTCCGCAACCGGAGTGGCCAACAAATTCAGCCTGTCAACCGAGTGAAACAATGCAAAGTAAGCTCTCTGTCATTTTGCAATTTGCAATTGGAGTAGCCCCCTCATGGAAAAATAAAAGGGTGTCAGGGCCAGAAGTGGAGAAGGAGGTGGTCTCTGCCGCCTGGTTTCATTTTCCAAATCCAAATCCCTTTAATGCCCCGGCGACAAAGTGTCTTATGTCCATACCCATAGCCGTAATTTTCTGCAGCGGCTTCAGGTGTCCGCTTCGCACCTGGACAAGCACCCAAAGCCGGCAATTTATGGCTGGCCTGACACAATTTCATAAGGCCACCCGAAAGGCTCTCCATCTCCATCTCCAACTTCAAGTTGGAGTCGAAGTTTGTGTATGGCCTAAAGATTACGCGATTGTGGCTAAAAATAGCAGACGCTAAAGGTCAACCGGCTTGAAGATGCAGCTGCGTGCTGACTGATTTACAAGCCAAGTGCAAGTCGCTCATAAGTTGGCGACTCGACGACGACGACAACATTGGCGACATTGAATTATGCGATCTGAGGGAAAGTGCTGCTGTCGTCGGAATCGGAATTGGAATTGGAATTGGAATCTGTATCTGTATCTGAATCCGAAACCAAATCGAAAACGACAGTGTTCAAATGTTGCACCTTTGGATGGAATGGTCTGGCGATTGGTCTGCCGATTGGTATGTGATGACATTTTATTTATGCACGGCGTGGCCAGCTGTTGAGAGCATTAAATTAATGCGCTTAGTCCCCATCATCGATGTCCCAGGTCCGCGTCTGGCAATTGATATTTTAATCGCCATTTCATTTTGTCTGCCGAGACTTGACTTGGCGCCATGGTTAGTCCGGAGTTTAGGGAGCTGATACAGGCAGAGAAAAGATGGTGGTTTCTCCGAGGAGTTTGAAAGAATGATGATTTATTAGATAACTCAGTTGAGGGATACCGAAGTCCCCTTGAAAGTTGGTTACCAGTCCATCCTTGAATATAGCATCTCATTTAGCCAGGAATGTTAAGAATATAAAAGGTAATTTTCCATGAATGAAATCTCCCTAAACGATAATAGACTTTTAAGATAGATTAACAAGATCTTAATAAAAAGCAATTTCTAATTAAAATCACAAAAAAACCAACCACTTTTTTCTGTGTAGGTTATCAACTGTCATTATTAACTTGGGTCCCCATAAAGCTACGTGTCCCCTGTCCGGTTGGCTTATGGGCACGCATTTTGCAACTCCCAATTAAAATGTTATTCAATGCGTCGCTTAAAGCGACTTATAAACACATTTCCAACGATAAGACGACGACCTGAAAACCGCAACTTTAATGGTGCTTAAATCGAACGATATTACCGTAAACAGAAGCCAAAACAGAAACTCAAACTCAAGCTGAAACTGAAACTGGAACTGGAAAACGGAAGTGGAATCCGTCTGGTCAAAAGGTCAGACAAGTTGGCAAATGTTCAAGGCACATGTGTTTGGGGAAAACTGCAGGGAATTTCAAATGGGAAAACAGCACATGTGTAATAAAAAACAAACTGAAACAACTTTGTTTTGACAATGGTGGGGAAATTCCAGTCAACAGAGGAACATTTTCTTCGTTGAAAACTAAAAGTTGATTGGTAAATAAATATTTCTTTAAACTTTAAGAATAACATATTGAAGAGAGTATTAAATATTTATATCCTTACAAGGAGACATTCTTCTTTTTATGATACCTAAATTTAGCTTTTTAGGATTAATAAAAGCTTAAAATAGAAGTCTTGTAAAGACTTTAATATAAAATTCTGCCATAAATATGTTTTCCATTTAAATTTCATTCATAAAAAGACATCTCTAAAGATCAACTAACCTTCTTAACCTCCCTAAAGAAACAGTGAAAACATAAGTCATAAACCCATCGACTCATAGTTACTTTAATCCGATTGCATTCACGATCTGGCTAAAATGGCTTTGGCCGGCCATAAAAATTAAGCCCCATCCTTCAACGTAGCCAATTGCATCTAATGTTCGTTAAGAGCCATTGATAATTTTCCCGAGGATTAACGATCGTTTCCGCTTTCCTCCAGCAAAACTCAATAGGCCCTCCACAAATAGGATGGAAATTCTTTTGAAATTGAGCGAATCTCGCAGACGCATAAGCATAAAAATTCCTCCAGTTCGAGGTTCTCTCCCTCACGGAGGGCAATGGTTTTGGTTTTTATTTTTAGCCCCTTGCTGGATATATCCATGAATCCGAAGGCACTTAAACGTTGCCCGTTTCGCTGCTCATTCAGGCCAACGCAATGGCAAATAACACGGCAACTTTTGCTTTTAGCACAAGACTTCATCATACACCAGAAACCCCTTTTGGCTCATCACCCTCCCTTTTGGCGCTTCCAGCGAAAAGTGAAATCCTTTTAAAGCGGCAGCAAACAAAAATCTAGGAAAATGTCGCCGCCAAAAAGTTATAAATCTTGTTCATATTTGCACGTGAAGTCAAAGCCAAAGGCAAAGCTAGAGCCAAAGCCAAAGCCAGAGCCAGACTTTCAGGCCAGCCTGGGGAAGCCATAAATGTCACTTGGCTTGGGGAAGAGCAACCCGGTATAGGCCTATGTTGGCATATTAGTTTTCCTCGGAGCGAGTGGCAAAACGTGCTAAATTCCATGGGGCAGACAT